CCTTGGGAATAAAACCAAAGAAAATGCCTTCCAATTCAGCTTCCTAGACCGCGGTAGCCTAAAACCCTTGAGCCTTCCATTCATTTTCATCACCCAACGCCTTCTAGGCCCCCTCGCCACAGCTTTCTTACCAGCAGCAGCACCAGTTAGCCTCTCATAGCGCGTCCTCGAGTGTTCCCCGGCAACATCTTGGAATCCCATCTGCAACAACATTTGAGTGTGTTGAATGCAGAGGTGTATATATAGTGAAGTGTTGTTTGAAATGTATTTATACAAGGTCTAATTGATGTGGCTATTAGATGTGTGTGTGTGTGTTGTATTTCATCAAACATATACTATTAAGGGAAAAGGCTGAAGATTGTTGAGTTTGGATTCCTTTCAACACATGGCCATTGTCATATCTAAACCTAATACATTGTACATTAAAAAGAGATATATGGTGGACTGTGTGTGGGTATGTGTGTGTGCGTGTGTGTGAGAGAGAGATGCATGCCCTCTCCTTTTACACATGGCTGACATGTTTTTAACAAACTGAGCAATTCAATAGTACGTACTCTCTCTTTCTCTATCTCCAAGTTTATTATTTACTGTTATAATGTGATATCTAAATGATGAAGGAATATTGAAGGCATGTGCAATAATTGATGTCCATGTTATGGATGCAAATCAAAGGTAATGATTTGTACCAAAGAGAAGGAATGTGGTTGCAATCTATAACAAGACAAAATTGTTTTACTTGTTTTTTTCAATCTTTATTCTTTTAACAGAGATTAGTTTGAATTCAGTCAAGGATATAAATCATTGGTCCAATTTGTCCACTTTTGAAGAAAACAGTTGCTAAGATATTAATTAGTTTAAGATCCACTCTGTGCCATGACTAATTAAATCCTAGCTCCTATTTGTAGGTTCATTGTTATTTAGCATATAACTAAATAAAATAACTCTAATTAAATTTCTAAGCACAAGACTTGCACATCCAATTAAATCCTAGCTCCTATTTGTAGGTTCATTGTTATTTAGCATATAACTCAATAAAAAAAACTCTAATTAAATTTCTAAGCACAATCACTAGTCCTAACACGACTTGCACATCCAATTATGTGGAAGATCATAATGCTCATTATTGATTATGTCTATGCAGGATATTAGGAGTGGTAGACTGTTAATAAACAAAACATAAAAAAGGTGAATTCGCGTTCTCATGTTTGTCGGTTCGAGTTTTTACCAATTATATTAAACTGTGATTTATTAATCATCGACATAAATAAAATAAGCAAGGTACAATATTGTATAATGTTTTGAGTTGTTTTGACATAGCTATAGATCTCGGATCTTGAGTTCTAAATCTTTTGGGCAAGATTACTTTTAGATTTTAGTTTTACCTAATGATTGCTTAGAAGAGAAAGAGGATTAAGATTATTGAAAAAACATTAAGCAAATCTAGGTTAAAGGTATGCAATAACTAATAAGACAAGGATACAATGAGCATAATGCAGTTAATATTCTTGATTAATATATAGGATTTGTTGGCACTTTTTGGACCAGTTAAAGAATTATAGGAGTCTATATGTGTGTGTGTGCGCGCGCGCCATGCACATGGAGATCATATAGTTTATTAAGGGAATGTGGTGATCTGTGAATTGCAGTCCAACTTGTTGATTGACTGCTCTAGAATATTTTTCAAAGAGATAAAATAGAAGGAAGAGTTATGCATTGCGTAGAGAGGAATCATTTTTAGAAGCCCTAGTAGGTTGGGTTAGTCAATGTTGAAGTGTGGCACTCTGATCAACCACAAAATAATGAAACACCAATATATATATATATATATCTGTCTCAATCAGGAAGAGACCAATTAAAAGGCACTGACTTGTATTATTCCATTGTGCACCAATGTCATCCCAAGTTTCTAAAGGGACTGTAGGTATGTGGGTTCTGCTTATGGTAAATAGGTAATAAACAAGGGGCATGTCAAGAGAAAAACTTGTTGAGGTGTACCATACATCCGACTCGAACAAGTTTTTTTGTACGCCACGATGCAATATGAGGGATTCAGAAAGAGTTTATGATAGGAGGAGGAGGAAAAGTAGGTCAATCAAAGAAATTTATGGTGCCGATAAGAATGTTTATTCCGAATAATTATGTTAAGATTATTTTAGTTTTTCAATTGCCTTTAATGCTCTAAACCTGCTTGTATTTATGTTACTAGATCACTTGGTTGTTACTAATGCCTAAGCCCATGTTATGGTGACCTAATTGCACTTTTGACACCTAAGATGAAGTCTACCATACCGCTCCACGTCAGTGCACCAGTGGCACATTAAATGGACACAACAGACATTAAATACAATTTGGCTAAAGTCCATTGGTGATGGTTGAGTATTAATGCTTTGGTTGTTCTATTAAATGTGATGTTAAGGTTTCTGTTTAGCTTGTGTTCCATCATTTCTTGATTTGACCCACAGCATGGGCGTTTTCTAGCTTCTTATGTTCCAAACCAAAGCCCTTCTAAATATCCTGAAGAAGATTTATATTGGCTCGAGGGGAGGCTCCTACATGCGTCTCTTCTTGTGCCAATATTTAAAGCTCTAGATTTCTTGACTTGTATTGTCATCAGGGTTTTGATACTTGAAGTTGGATTGTCCAAGTTTTACTTGTCCTGAATTTCTTTCAGGCTCGAGGCAAGGCCATCGAGGTTTTGAGAGTTGAAGTGAGGTCATTGAGGTTTTGCTTGACCTGAACTGTTGTCAAGGTTTTCGAGACTCGAGGCAAGCCAGTCGAAGTTTTGTGACTTGGGACGAGATCATTAAGGTTTTGTTTGACTTGAATTGTTGTCGGGGTTTTTGATATTCGAGGCAATGCCGTCAAAGTTTTGTAAATCAAGTTTAGGCGATAAAAGTTTTGTTGGACTTGAACTATTATCAAGGTTTTTGAAACTCGCGGCAAGGTCATTGAGGTTTTGTGGCTTGAGGCAAGGCCATCGAAGTTTTGCTCGGCCTTGGAGTGGTGCTAGGCCCTTGGTAAAAAGGTTTGTTTGTTCTGACGGGGGAATTTTTGACTTTTGCTGACGTGGGGCCTGTTCGTGTATGCCATACCCACTGGGTCATTACTTGTGGTAAAAAAACATGGATACGTTAATCACGCATGAGAACATGGGCTGGATGGTCATTTGGTGCAAATATCGCCAAAGATTATACAATCTATCACCAATCCACCTCCCAACACTATACCTACTTTGCATTCATTTAGAAGTCTGTTCTTTGGATCATTTGATTATTATTATTTTTTTAATTTTAGTAGGGACAATATTAAAATATTAAAACTTCATAGCTATATAATTTGAAAAAAAAAAAAAAAAAAAATTCACTACTATACATATTAAAAAAAATAACAACCAGTGAAGTAAATTGCCTCCACTGCGAACATGTTAGGTCTGTGCCTGATTTCTTGATTGTCCTATGCAATCTCATAATTGCAGAGGACAATCGAGAAATATTAAAACTTCATAGCTATATAATTTGAAAAAAACAAAAAAAAAAAAAATCCATTACCATACATATTTAAAAAAACAACCAGTGAAATAAATTGCCTCCACTACGAATATGTTAAGTCTGTGCCTGATTTCTCGATTGTCCCATGCAATCTCATAATTGGATGTAAAAATGTAAATATTTCATTGGAAAATGAGCCTGATATTATGATCAAAATTACTTTTGCTTGCTCCATCTACTGCTTATGAAGAGAGGAACTCAAAGGCTTCTCAAGTTCAAAGACTTCCCCGTCTTCTTGTATTGATTTTCTCTCAGTGAACTCACATGAGACCACCATTTATATAATTTTCTCTTTTCAAAAATAGTTGAAAATTCCTTTTATTTTCAAACATTTCATTTTGCAGGCCATTTGTAAGTGGTCATGTCATACAAGTGATTTCATAGTTGCCATGACATAGTGTGTAAGAAATTCATAAATAATAGTGGATGCAGAACAATGTGACGACGGTCCTAGAAAGGCGTGGACTTCGGCCAAAGGCCATTTACGTATTTGCCCTGAAGGAGAATGCTAAGCATAGTCGGAACTCCTATGCCCAAAAAAAAAAAATAATAATAAAATAAAATAAAATCTTAACTGGTTTGTAACGAGAACAATTTTCTGTTATTAGAAAACAGAAAATAGAAAATTGTACAAAAATTTTTATTTAGTTTAGTTTTTTGAAAATTATTTTCTGATAACTCAGTTATAAAAAAATCTATTTTCAGAGAACTGTTTTTTATTGTTCTTTGAAAATTATTTTCTGTTCTCTGAATTCTTGAAAACTATTTTCACAGTTACAAACCAAACAAACTCAACATTTTTTGTTTCTTAAAAAAAATTTGAATTCTCAAAGTCTATTTTAATTTGTGTTCTACAACCCTTTGACTTTCATGGATATTATATAGATATATTTTTAAAACGAACTACTGTAGTATGTAAGATGTACATTAAATACAAAATTTCCCCGTGCATTTTCTCCATAGATAAAGAATGAAGAAAGGAAAATACATGTGCCATGAAATATATATTTTATATAGATTTATCTATAGGGAAAAATCATAATATGTACACAAAATGACAAAAAACATTATCCACTTTCGCGTCACTTAGTCACACCATATAATATTATATAATAGCAATTGATATATATATATATATATATAAATACATTTATATATATATATATATATAATATAAAGGATAATTACTATATATATATATATATAATATATATAAAGGATAATTACTATATATATATATATATAATATAAAGGATAATTACTATAAATACACACACATATATATAATATAAAAAGATAATTACTAAAAATACATCATATACAACTACCATTCATGCAAGCTATGGATGAATTTTTTAGTCACCATTGAACAAGAGATCTTTTCGTATACATAAAGTAGAGGTAGCAAATGAATCACGATTCTAGTCATTGATGGTAGGTTATTGCATCGTGTACACAACATTCCATCCTTACTTTTTATTATTTATTATTATAAATAACAGTTAATTATTTGTTCACTGGATACAGCAGTGAATATCAGGGACTGTAGGGAGGATCTTAATCCGAATATATATATTTTGGGCTTGTAAGTTATCAAACCATTAACTTTCAGGTACTAAAAAAAAAAAAAAATGAAAAAGAAAAGAAAAGAAAGAGAGAGTCCTACCAGAAGCAAGAAGATGGCCAAGAAAGGCCACTTGATCTATGGTTTTGAAGACTCATAAACCTTCTTCTAACGTAAAAACCACATCTTAGCCTGAAACAGACCACCCTTCGGAGTTTTCGGACGGATCGGATCCTGACCCAGATAACCCGTTTGACCCGGAACAATGATCTCCTAATCCTCTCAGCCACACTCTTCTTCCTGCAGAACCTATAGCTTCTCAAGAACAGTTGCCTCTTCTCCATATCTGTGTACCCCATCTCGCTCCTAAACATGGAACAGAAAAAGAGTTGTAGAGAGACAAAGAGACTTGTTGTCTATGAAGAAGAAGAAGAGATGATGATGAAGAGCTTATATAAAGGAGTTGTCTGAGACAACGAATGGATTCTCTTACAAGCACTGTAAAGTCGCCACCTGAATCTGTCTTGCTTTTACAAAGAACTGGGACTTCTTCTCTCACACGTGGCAAAGGATCAATGGAATAGTTCTTCTTCTTTTTCCTTATTTTAGTGAGAGGTCACGTGACTTTTGTGATCTTCCATTATCCATTCATCATTTTAGTCTTATGTTTCTTGTTGGATCTCTTTTTCTTCTCCCCTCTAGATGGTTGGGACATGGGATCATCCAACTTCAAATCACATCAGTTGACTTTTTTTCTTTGATAAAGGAGTAACTTTTTTCTTCTTCGGGTATCTTCAATTTGATTTTGATGAGTGAGAGAAAGTGTGATATACATCTAGGTTATTATATATATATACATATATTGCCGTGACTTCAATGAGTCCAGATACTCTGCCATAAATTGTGGCGTGCGATTTTTAACTTACTTAAATTATTTGTCTAACACATTTATTTTAGATTTCAATAACAAAACACAACACATTTGTTTTATTGTTAAAATCTAAAATAAATGTATTGAAACATGATTTAAATGCATTAAAAATTCCTATAGCATGTTACAACAGTCTGCAAAAAACCCTTAAAGCAGAGGATCCAGAAGTGACTTCTCCAACACCATTATTTTGTATTTCAACACGTTAATTTTATTATTAAAATCTAAAATAAATGTGTTGAAATATAATTTAAGCAGCGTTAAAGATTTATACAGCACGCCACAGCAGTTTGCAAAGACCCCTTACAGGAGGAGATCCAGGAGTGACTTCTACAATAATAGGTGGTGATGTGACATCTAGTCACTTCAATAATAGGTGGTAATGTAACATCCTATGCCAGAAACACGAGTGTTTGATAGGAGAGATGTTAATGGAAAACGAAAAGATTAACAGTCAAATTATGTTTTTTTTTTATTATTTTTAGGTAAAATATTCGCACACACTCACAAAAGATCACTATGTAGCTCAAAATCCTCACCTCCCTTGTGGGAAGGAGATGTTATACCAGCTGAACCAATAAATCGGGCAAAAAAAGTCAATTATATTGTTGAAATTAATGGAATAACTCCTAATCGTATGCGGATTGAGAAGTCTGCAAAAATCCCTTAAAGCAGAGGATCCAGAAACGACTTCTCCAACACCATTATTTTGTATTTCAACACGTTAATTTTATTATTAAAGTCTAAAATAAATGTGTTGAAATATAATTTAAGTGTGGTAAAGATTTATACAGCAACCACACCAGTTTGCAAAGACCCCCCTTACAGGAGGAGATCCATAAGTGACTTCTACAATAATAGGTGGTGATGTGACATCTAGTCACTTCAATAATAGGTGGTGATCTGACATCCTATGCCAGAAACATGAGTGTTTGATAGGAGAGATGTTAATGGAAAACGAAAAGATCAACAGTCAAATTATGTTTTTTTTTCTTAATAGGTAAAATATTCACACTAACAAACCTTCACAAAAGATCACTATGTAGCTCAAATGTTATGCCAGCTGAACCAATGAATCAGGTAAAAATGGCCAAATTATACTGTTAAAGAGAATGGAAAAAACTCTTAAACGTATGCAGATTAAGAAGTTAACTTGACTTCAACTTGAGTTATAAAATCCTCAATCAAAGTCCGAGTTTAATCCAACCTTCAATTCGATTGGATTAAGCTCAAGTTAGGCTTGCATTGATGAGGTTAAAAAACTTAGTAGGTTAGGTTAAGCTCAGACCTGAGTGAGGCTTGTCTAACATCTTCTAAGATGATGTGGGAAATTAAATTGTAGTTCTCCTACATGGTCCCATTCCATGCTCTTAGTGTGTGGAGACATTAGACATAAACAATGCACTCAAAACTGCAGAATTAAACCAGTAATTTCCACATGAAACACCCATCACCCCCACCAAATAACATAGAACATAGAGATCAAACAAAAACCTTTCAAGATTCACAAGACCATATGTATATTCCAAAAAACAGAAAGTCACATTGCATCAATTCATGCTCCAAAACAGAAGTCAATTGAAAAACTCACAATTTACTTCCCAAAGAGCAAGTTCATAATGCTGCGAAAAACTGGACCTCTTTTGTCGCGAAGAACCTCCCTGACAGCCTTCTCATCCGGGACAAAGCCCTTAGCTTTCATCTGCTCCAGAAACTCACTCCCTTCCTCCACATTCCCCTCACTCGCAAACGCCTCAAACACCGCGACATAAGTCCCTGCATTGGGCCTCATGCCCTTGTCCATCATCTCCACCACATACTTCTTCGCCTCACCCAACAACTTAGCATCCCCAGAACTCGCCAGCCCCTTGATCAACACGGTGTATGTATACGCATTGGGGGTGACCCCAGACGCCAGCATCCGTAGGTACACCTTGAGGGCATCCTTCCCCTGCCCGGCATTGGCGTATGCCTCAATGACAGCAGTGTGTGCCACCACATCAGGCATATTTCCCTTGTCCTTGATTTGCCCAAACAATTCAAGAGCTTCGTGGGTGAGTCCGTCCTTAGACAATGCGTCGAACATCTTGACTGCATTGTTGATAAGCCCATCATTGCGTATCTTATGAAACACTTCTTGCAGATTTTTTGGATCCCCTGGCTCTTCAATCACTGCCTTCTTGTTAAATGGGTCGTAAGGAGGTGGCAACTTGGTCTTATCAATCTCTCCCCTCCTCGTTGTCAACTGGGTTTTTGTGTTTTCGGAATCAGAATCAGAATCAGAGTCGGATAAAGAGAAATTGACTTTGGTGTTGCGTTTTATGGTAGGGGCGGGTTGTTGTTCTTCTTCGGAGGTGGTAGTGAATGATCTTCTGATTGTGGAAGCAAGAGTGTTTGGTGGGTTTATCAATGGAAGTGTGGCGGGTTTTGATGGATTGAGTGCGGTGGTCGTGGTGAGTGAGAGGAGTGATGGTGGTGGTGTTGAGGAGGAGGCATGGAGGTGTGTGCGAAACGTGGAAAAGAGACGCTTACAGAAGGAGAGAGAGGGAGGCGTGTTGGAGACGACGAAGCAACGACAAATCGCTGTGCCGGCCATTGGTCGTCGTCGCAGTGCTGTGTGTTGATGTAATGTCAAATGTGTCCAACAATAAGCGCTTTTTTTTCTCCTTGTTTTTTTGGACTAAAATCTCTGCGCGTAAAAATGCATTTTAAAATAAAAAATAAATAAAAATCACCAAACACATCTTAATGCAAAATTTTAAGTGATTGAAAAGTAATCCCAATCATAATTTTAGTTTCGGAGCCTTTTTTGTACATTGAGTGTTTCTTTTTTTAGGATAGAAAAGTTGTAGCATTGAGTTAGATATCTTTGGTGTGCAGGAATGGAATGGAATGAAATGTGTCCATTCCAACTATTTCTTTATTTGGTATGCAACTTAAAGTGGGAATAGCCATTCTATTGGAATAAAAATTTATTCCTGGAATGAAAATCCATTTCACAACTAAACCTATGGAATAGCCATTCTATTCCCAAGTAATTTATTTTAAAAAATCGACTTTTCAAAACACCCTCATATTCCAAGTCTAAAAACCACCATTACCTTCTACCACAATCATCTCCGCCTTTCACCACACCACCACCACCACCATTGCCTTCCGCCACCACTGACTTTCACCATCGCCCACCACCTTCTTCCATCATTACCATCGCCTTCTACCACCTTCTATCACCACCACCACCACCACCACCACCTTCCACCACCTACTACCACCACTGCCGCCTTCCACCACCGCCACCACCACCTTTCACCAATGCCACCACCACCATCACCTTCCGCCACTGCCACCGCCACTACCTTTCGCCATCGCCCACTACCTTCCGCCACCACCTTCCACCACTGGCACCGCCACCACTACCTTCCACAACCACCACCCCCACCTTCCATCACCACCACCACCTTCCACCACCGCCACCACCACCTTTTACCATCGCCACCACCACCACCTTCTGCCACCGCCGCCGCCACCACCTTTCGCCATCGCCCACCACTTTCCACCACCACCACCACCACCACCTTCCACCACCGCCTTCCACCACCACTATAGTCACACCACTATTTCCTTCTACCACAACCACCACACTACTGCCACCGCCTACCACCAACACCACTGCAACTTTCCACCACCACTGCTACTACCAATTTTCACGATTGCCACCACCGCCGCCTTCTAACACCACCACCTACATTACTATCGCTTTCCACCATCCACCACCGCCACTGCCACCATTTATTTTTAAAAAATTATTAGAGAATATCATTTTGTTAATTTAATTTAATTTATTTCAAGAGGGATATTTTGGATAATTCAATTAGAAATTTATTTCATTCTAAATTTTAAATTGGTCCAACCAAACACTAGAATGGTTATTATCATTCCATTCCTACACATTTCATATTTATAACCAAACAATAGAATGAGAATGGCCATTCGATTCCATTCCCATTCTCATTCCATTCTCACTTGCATTCTATTTCATTCCTACACACCAAACGTAGCATTAATATATTTCAATAAGTAGCATTATGGTGTGAACTATTAAGTACTAGTCGATCCCAATACATTGTTGCCCCTTGAACCTGTCTGGTGAATATTAATAGGTGCTAATGCAAGGCATTTCATTGTTGTGCAACGTATACATAAAAAAGTTATTTAATAAATCATAAAATGTAATTGTCACAAAAACAATGCGAATTATTGCATTAGCAATCTAAATAACACAAAGATGAAGTGCCACAATTTGAGTTTTGAGATAATATGGTGGGTAAGTGTGTGCATGAGTTACTTACATATGAAAGAAAAGTTAAATAAAGCATTTTAATCATTGAGATAAAAAATAAAACAAATATAGTGTGAAATAATCTTTTAACCAAAACCTCCCCATTATCACTTGCAACAAGCGAAACACAGAAAACTTCACATCACTACTATTCATCTCTTTCTTTTCAACTTTCTTTCACGTTACGATTAAGCAAAGTGATTATTCATGAACTGTTCTCATGTGGTCATCTCTAAAACTTAAAAGAATAGATCTTATGAAGTGTTCAAAATTTGAAGAAAAAAGAGAGTATAAATATCAATGTATATAAATTTATATTGTATATGCTAAGAGGAAGTGTAAGTAAATTAGAGGTCTAAACGGATTTGGATTCGGATTCTTCTGATTTTTGGTAGGTTTTATATCTTATTATTATTATTTTTGTGATTTTCAGAGACAATGGCAAAGTGAACTGTTTTAAGGATTTCCTTATTGTGTTAGGTTGTCTCTACTATTATAAATACATATAAAAGGTGTTTAAAAGAATTTCTATAAAATTAAAATTACTATTTAATATAAGGTGTTTGCACCCTTTAAACGATCATAGTAAACCCTAATAGAGCAGAGCACAGCAGCGCAGCACAGAGTTCCAAACCCTAAAAAGGATCACACAGATATTAGCAACATCCGCAGATATCTGGTGACGAATCTATCTGAGGTATATATGTCATGTTTTTCTTGGAAACAATCTCTAAATATTCTTCCTTCTCTCCCTTTGTAACATAGACATATTTTTCTTCTTCTTAGGGTTAATTATGGGGAAGAAGAAGAAATCAAAAGGGTCTGGTAAGAGAGAACTCCGGTTCTGGGAGTGGTGGTGAGACGCTGGAGGATCTACTTGGCAGGAGGATAAAGGAGTTGGAAAAGCAAAAAAATGATGTTGGTACAGAGGCTTCTTGGCGTTACGAGGCATGGAGACCATTGATCCTTCATTAAAGTCGGATTTGGAATGACTCCGATGACGACGACGATGATAGTGTATTTCCGGCTTATACTCAGCCTGATGACTTGATTAAACATCTTGATTTTTGGATAAGCTACTGGGACACGGAGATAATATTATCTACTGATTCTTTTGATCCGGCTGCGAAGAGAAAACCAAAAGTATTGTGTGAATGAGTCGAAAGATGGTCGTAAGGCGGTAGAGAATCTCTTTCTAAGACCATAGGCAGAATTCTTTCAAGTTTTTTTTTTTTTTCCTTCGATCTTTTTTTTTTTTCCTTCTAATTTATTAATGATAAGGTATTTTAAATATTACGGAGTAAAGAAAAAAAAAATACCACTTACTTTTGGAGGCTGAAAAAGTAAATCCCAAACCAACATTGACAACAGAAACTTCACATGCAAAAGAAAATATCTAAAGCATTGCAAAATAACCTCGGTGAAACTGATGAAAGCAAAACTGATTGAAAGTGATCAAATCATCACTTGAATCCAGTATCAAGTTTTGACCACATACTCTTGAATGGATCATTTGAAAGTTTGGCTTAAACAGATAAGCCATGACTTATTGTCTAAGCAGATTATGATGAACTAATAATACAAGATCCATCAGGAAAGTGACTGGATGGATATGTCAGCGAATAATGAACTATGATGAACAACCACAAGATCCATCGGGGGAATCACTGGAGGTCAGCGAAGAATGATCTTTACTTGTCTGTGGAAGGTACGAGTAAGCAAGCAGAGAGGCTCCGATTGTTACAGACAATCCAATGCAGCTCCATACCCACCTCCTTTGACTATTCTTCCTCTTTCGTTGCCTTCGTGCAACCTCTGCATTTTTTACCATAAAAAATGAACAAATCAAGAAAATTTAAATTTGCCAATACAAATGCCTGCTGCTAGTACAAAACAAATGCTTATATCATGGTTACTTATGAAGCACTGGCCATTACCAAATATAAAAATGATCAAAGAGGGGGGTTACACAAAGAATTGAACCTCGTTTCTACATAACCAAACAAGAAGTGCAAGAAAGAACAAAAGAATTGAAAAAATCGGAGGACCACTTTTGTATTGAACAAGAAATCATAATATTATAATGGGTGAAGAAATCGTAATGTTGAAGAGTAAAGATACAACATGCATAATGAAGACCATTGGACTTATTCTCATATTGCATAACAAACTTTAAAGACTTTAAACTTTCAGCCCATAATACCCCCTTTAATAATAATTTTCATGTTGTCACAGAAAGGTGCATTAAGCACAATGCCTTTTACGTTTATGGCATGATACAGCCTGTCGTATCAGACACCATAGATGTGTAGGTACGGCAAACTGTGTACCTTCTAAGTTTTTTGAAAGCCTTTGGCCATTTCCCCTTCTCAGAAATATAGGCAATGGCCTCGTACATACTAGAAAATGCTTAATACCCTAGCAATCCACCAACTGAACTTTTGAACTCACAACTCTGAGGCATGGAACATCATTCTGAAACAATAATTTTGGATCCAAAAAGATTATTGTTACTGTAGTTTTCCTTCTAAGATAAGAATTATAGAGACCATGCCAAAGTAGGCTCAACCTAAATAGGAAGCACTCAGTTCAATCCTTTTGCATGTTGCAGAACTTTAAGGACAATGAATTTTGCCACATTAGGACAATTATAGTTATATGGCCGCCATTCAAAGGGGCTTCAGTTGTCGGCTCCTCTGTTATCAGGTCACCAACTTCCCTGACATTCTGGCACTAGGCAAGCGTTAGCTGCCCGAAAACTGGGCTCTTCCCCAAGGTTCGTCCACAGGGGGTGAGTCAGGAACTAGGCTGAAAGACTAGTCGATGAACAACAGTTGTCCCTATCTTCAATGACATGTCCATTTTGCCAAGCCTTACTCTGATGAAATGCTCAGATCATTACGCCTTTCGACTTACTCGACAAGGAGTTTTGCTATCATAGGACCATTAGAGCATTGGCAGTCTACTGGGATTGAGACACAGCCTAGAGTCAAAGACTGCTAGGGGATGTAAGAGTGGGAAATTTTTGGTAATGGACGAAAGCTTGACATAGCAAAGAGACATGTCAGATCCAGGGCATCCCAACTGGATTGAATGGGATGACAGTTTCTCATTCCGAATCTGTAAAATTAGAAACTCAATCTATTCAAACCTATTTCCTTGACACCAAGAATAAAATGTCACTCACTACCTTCCTATTCCCCGTGAAACATAACAGTTGGCATTCCATGCAACATAAATTTAAATTAATTCCATGTTTTTAGAATTTGACAACATCTAAAAACATCAAAATAAAGTAATTTCTAGTGTCTCCAAAGATGCTCATGTTTGTGACCTGTTGACTAGACAGAGAGAAAAAAAAAGGCAATGATCCTCACAATGTATTGATTAGTGAATAGACCTTGACAATGTCGAGTAGGAAAAAAAATATTCCAATAACACGAAATCTATGACTACTGGAATTTGGAGGTGTTAGGTACCCATATCCATTTAAGTGCAACAACTAGCAACTATTTGTCAGCATGTAGCTTCACAAGTTCTAAGGAAGAAATTCAAAAAGGGAAAAGAAAAAAATCGAAGCTTCATCATAATTGTGCAGGTTTACAGCTTTCCATGAGGTCAACTTTCCAGGTCTCACAATTCATCTCACACAAGGATAACCACTGATTGTTTTTCAGTACAGTTATGACTGCAGATATATCTCATGTCACGTATTTTCTATAAGAACATTTTTAGTCCAATGGAACTTTAGCTTTCTTATAAGCTTTCATATATTATAATTGTGAGGACCTCTTCCCAACCTATTAACCTGTAAGCCGACCTATACACTATGAGGACTTCTTAGGCAGAAAAGCCTCATCACATCTCCCTAGAATATCTCTTGAGACTAAAGGCATAGTGATGCAGTTTTGCCACTACCAAAGCTGGGAGCAGAACCCAGGGAACATCGCTGCTCAATGCACAACCATCTCTTCACATCTCACACGACTCTCGAGGTTTGCAAACATGAAGAAAGCACATTGAGACCCTAGCAATAGGAGTACTTGTCTTAGTGGCTAGAGTTGTGGATTTAACCGTTGATTTCTTGTTTTGAATTATTACATGTAATTTAAAGGTTTTGGCATGGCTTCTATAACTGACCCCTGATCATGGAGAAGATATTGGGTGTGCCAGGCATACCATGCCATTCCTATGCCCACCCAATGATAACTTGCAGTCAGCATTTTTTGTAAGTAGGCAAGACCAATTATGGACAGTGTATTTTTTCTTGGGTAGGAATACCAATGACGTGGTATGCCTGGGGCACCCAATATCTAATCCTCATCATGTATCGTCATTATTGGAGTCTTTGATGCTTCTCATGCTCATTTAAGGCGCACCTGTCACTTTCCTAGCCTAGTGAGGGTGTGTGCCATACTTACCATGAAATAAAATAAAAAATCCAAATCAGATAGAATAATATGAGTCACCAGAATTTTCCATGAGCTTTATGAGTTTCAAGTTCCAAATCCTCCCAGTGAGGGTGTGTGCCATACTTACCATGAAATAAAATAAAAAATTTAAAAACCATATAGTACAAGAAACCACAAGCCTTGGGTTACATTGCAAGTCAGATGGATATGGATAGAAATAATGATCAGGAAGATCCATAATATTCTTTAGATTTTTTGAGGCATAAAATATTGAGAAGAACACATAGACAATAGAAACCAAAGATTAGCAGCACATACCAACAATTTCCTGATTTCTTTGGGACATTTCATGATTTACCGCCTCATAGTATTGCAGTTTGTCTCGCAGGCGGGACATTTCCTGGTCTTTGGATTCAAGAATAGCCTCTGCAGTCAATTCAGCTTCAGCACGTGCTTGACCCCTTGCTATTGCTTCGGCAACAAACCTAGCAACAACAAGTTCCTGAGAGACTTGCTCTATTGAATTGATCTCAAGCTGCACGTCACTAGTAGTCAGAGGTGCAGGAAATGTTAAACCCACTTCAGATAGAGCATTGCCAACCCTCTGCCATTGACTGTGCATCTGACCAAGAGCATCCTGTGCAGCCTCTCGTCTTTCAATCTCATCAAGGAGACTGAGCCTTGTGGCTAGTAGTTGTGATTCAATACTTGGACCATAAGAAGATACATTTGAAATTGACTCATCAGACAAGAAATCTGTACGAGCAGTCAGCAAAAGGCCATGAGAGATGAACGACACAAGAGCACTCTTGATCTAGTTGCAAGATGATATTTAGTGGTACATAAAAAAATCTCCAATATCTTGCCCATATGGGCTCATGTGATTATACAAGAAATAACCGTAAGCAACCAGTTACAGAGAAACAATCCCAGTATCTTTCCAAATTGGCTATTGTAGTTAAGCAAGAAACAATTATACTTGACTCATATTTCATGGCTGCTATTCTGAGACATGATTAAAGGAAATTTAACTAGGAAAACAGAGCTTCTATCTCCAAAACTAAAACATGTTTATATAAATAATTTTGGGGGGGTGGATCGAACGTAGGACAAGAAGTGCAGTGTGCTTGGGGCATTTGAACTCCACAATCTCCACACCATAATTTGACAGTGATCAAGAAATTTCAAATTTTTTGGCAAAGATAATAGATGCTAACATGCATCATAAGTTGTAGAATTCAACAACAAATCACAGTAACAAATCAATCATGGGGAAAATCAAAATCTAGCAAACTAAGATTCAACATCAAATTTCAGTGAACTACAACAAAATGCTAAGAAGTTTAACAATTTGGAAAGTATCATAGCATCTAAATAAAGCACCTCCTTTGCTAATTTGATTTTTACAACACTGAACGGATTTTAGTCTTTTTTTATTTTTATTTTTTCCATGGCAAGTGACTCACACCCCCATTTTTTGTCCCTAACAGACTTGAAGAGTTGAACCTCGACGTTCTTCTTTAGAAGGTAGAAGAGATACCAAAAGTCTACAACCTTTGGTGATGATTTTAGTAGATTCAATCTTTAAAATAAGAATGCAAGATGTTAAGCAAACAACCAACACTATAAAACTCTTAACATAATTTGGTGTGGAGTCATCTATTCTAATAACAGTTACCACATGGCATGGCAACAGTGATCACTTAATATTGTTTGCATGTGGATGCATGGGTTGGAGGGGATGGGGTCAAAGAGGGAGACTAATTTAACTCATCCAATAATTAGAGGGTACATCGAAGCTTACAATATTGAGTATCTATGGGAATTTGGTGAATTATCACAGAAAAAACAGAAGACATAGATGGTATATTGGTATGCACACTGGAAAATCGTCGTGCAGGCAAGCAATAGAAGTGAATAATATGGAAAGAGTGCGGTGCAGTGAAACTGGGGAGGACATCAGCATATGGCCATTGAGAAAAGTTTTGTGCTCTTATAGGTTTGGGCTTTATAAGGAGACTGGGAAAGCTTGGGGTAAGTTCTCACAATATTGTGAGATTTTAGCATGATACTTTTGGTGGTGCTCCCCTAAAGACCACATTCCTGGAGTTCAAAAACAATAACACATTCCTAGCTCTTTTTTGTATTAAAGCAAATAGAGAGGCTCTTTTCTCAAATTATGCCAGATTACAATTTTTTATTATTTTATTATGTTTTATTTTTTGTCTATAGTACTGCCTGAGGGCTAACTATAAATTATTTGCGAAGCAAGAGAAATTGATATATCTACATTGTTTGGTGGCTAAGAATTTGTGGTGCAGGTTACTTTTCTATTTGGAGTGTCCTGGGTGATTCCTGAATCAGTATAAAATTTTTGGTCACTAGGCTGAAGGTATTAAATAGGATAGTTTCTTCTGCTTATATGGTGAATTTGGATGGACTATAGTAGGAACACTTTTGAATATGACAAGGTTTTGGTCCATAAGCCTGGCATAATGATGTCAAATGTGTTTCATACTTTCATTTTTATGTTTTTGGTGTTCAAAATCTTTACAGAAAATGTAGTTTTTATAAAAGATTCGAGTTATATAGAAGAAAATTGGAATTACTTTGTGCATGGCATTGTTATATAATTACTGTTTTTTTGTCTCCAGTTTGAGACCTTTTTCTTTTTTTCAATTTCATGTGTTCAGTTACTTTTTCTACTTCCACAAGTTTAGAGAATTCCATTTAAAAAAGGCTCCTGCCAAAATCTAATGCTTTGCCATACCTAATACATAAATAAGATAGTGACACATATAAGCAACAACAACATAACAAAACATTATGTATGACATGCATCTAGGGAACTATTAGAAACAATCGATTCAAACAATTAGGCTTTAATGAAATTCCTAAGCATTATCAATTAAGGGGAAATCAACACCCGTGACTACAATCATTAATGAACACATACAATTTAAGCAACATGAAACTACAATAGTGTAGAAAGAACATGGGTTTACCTTCATCTGCATCATAGAAATCACCATGGCTAGACAATCCGCTTATGTTTCCGACTTGCTTTCCACAATCATTCAGTTCAACAGAGCTAGCAACACTAGCGGAGTCGCACCGAGGATCAAAGAAATCGTCTTCCACAATCTCCCCATCCAAAAAATTATCATGATCCACCTCCTGTTGCCCTAATCGAATACAGGGTTCCTCATTAGAAACATCATCAACACAACCACAGCCTGAATTGCTCTCATCAACTTGCTGCTTCTGCTTCTGCTGAACTTCAAATCCATCGACACGGCGCTCAGTGGCCTCACCACCACCGCCGCCATGACGTTTGCGTCTGACGACGTACGGAGAGGGCGAAAGCGAACCGGAGGAAGAATCTGGAACCGGCGTTGGTTCTGGAGTTACATACAGAGCAGGCGATATGTATATATGATTCGGACCTTTAGTCTTCTTCTCCTCCTCATCCTTCTCATCATCACCATCATCTCGATAATCAGATTTGGTGATTTGCTGCTTCGAATTCAACGAATCCTTGTACGAATCTCTGACCCTAGGTTCAATCAAGGTCTCCCAAGCAATCGTTGTGAAGGTAGGCATGTTGATAGTCTTCCAAAGTATCTAGATAGAAAGAAGAGAGAGAAATTAAATACGGGTTTGGGAAATGTAACCCTAATGACTGTTTCGCTTCACATGGCGTTTGTTAAAGGTTTGCATATCGCTTTCGCCGCCACTGTAAGGGTTTCTGTTGAACGGGTACACACATATAATATGTATAGTCATGTGTGAATGTGTGTGTATAATAAATTTATAGTCATGACTCATGCGTGATATATATATATATATGAATCTAATGTGACAAAATGACAATATACTAACCTGGCGCGGTGTTGTGTCTGCTAGTGGGGGCTTTACGGTCTCTGCAGCTTCCGATGACTTTGGAGCATATATAAAGTAATACTATATAATGTGGCCAAGGCAAGTTTGGCTTTTACTTCAAGAAAGGAAAAATAAATAATAAAACAGGGACTTTTTCAAATTTTTTTAAACTTCTTTCCTGACTTGCCTCTCAAGAACTATGATGTTATTAGTATTGGACTATGACTTTATTTTAAGAGGTTGATATTTTATCGAAGTTGGAGATTAACATATTTAATTGTCTAAAACTTACAATCTCGGTCTCATCTTATCATTTGAATCTTCATGTCCAATTGTTTTTCAACCAAACCCAATTTTGTATTCAATCTCTTTTTCTTTTTCTTTTTTTTTTTTTTTATAATTTTAATTTTATATTTTTACAGATATTTTGTATTCAATGTCAACCATGTTAGAAATTTAATTTGGGAACATGCTGAAAATGGGGTTGGTATGGGGTTATCTTTGGTTTGTTACTTCTAGGCATATTAAAATAATAATAATAATCAAATTCTTAATGTGTAAATTCTCCAAATAATTGATATACTAATAAATTGAAATTAAATGAAAAAAAGAAAAAGAAAAAATAAGAAGAGTTGACCATGATTATATGTGTGTGTTAGAGAATAAAATGATAATCATGCTATATTTTGTTTCTATAGTATTGTTATTCCAACCTCTAAAAATTTCTTTGGTTTGTTACTTCTAGGCATATTAAAAAAATAATAATAATCAAATTCTTAATGTGTAAATTCTCCAAATAAAAAAAATAAAAAATAAAAAATAAAAAAAAAGGAAGAGAAGAGAAAAAAGAAGAAAAGTTGACCATAATTATATATGCGTGTCTGTTAAAGATTAAAATGATCATCATGCTATATTTTGTATTTTGTTTCTATAGTATTCTTACTCCAACCTTTAAAATTGTGAGGTGAGAATTAAGTCACCTAAAATGAGAACGAGAATCAGAACCAGAGTGAGCGAATTCGAGAATTGGAGTACAAAATTAAGTCACAAATAGTAATAATGAAAGCGAAAATACGTGTAAAACGCAAGAGAACAATACCCGTTAAGAAGGATAGTGTGATAAGAGTCTTTATTATTCTTTCATTCTCCTTACACCAATTATGGACCCCACTTGTGGGGCCCACTTTGTTGGTGCAGTATACCAAACCCAGTCAAGTTGATAACCTGTAACTTTTTTTATAAACATCCAGAATCTGGAGATACATGTCGGTGACACAAGTTGGTTTGCAGTAATATTTTATTTGAGTACCAAATACATATTATAGAAGTAATCTACTTTCTTTGAGAATGAGATCTAGCAACTTGCGTTGAGCCCAGAAGAGTAATGAGTTTTATACTGGTGCAAAGCAACAATTGGAGCTTCAATCATTGAGAAAATTTACAGCTAAACAAACAAATATCAGATTTTTGTGACGATAACAAAGAAGCTACAACCTTACCGGTGGAAAACAAAGAAGATACACACATTTCACCTTTTACTGTTACAGATTATCTTTTTTTTTTTTTTCTTCTCTTTACCAATCCCGAAACCTTGACACGTGGTTTGGAAGTAAAGACCCAGAGCCACCGAGACAGAGGTAGACCGGATACAGATAATTTTCTCAGTTCTCTTTTTCTATACTTACAGATATCAAGGGATGTAAGACAAAACCCTTATGAACTACAACAATGTACACTAACAATTCTACGCTATGAAAATGATGGTGAGAAACCCAGAACCTTAGGTCTTTCAAGTGGAAGCTGATCCATCTCGAATTTTCCGTGGCCAGGGCCAGAGGCATCTCCGCTGGTCTCAGCGTCTTCAAGTTCTTTTAGAGCTCTTTTGGCATAGATGGTAAACGCAACTGTTGTAATGATCGCAACAATGAAGGAGATAACATTGTATATGATTTCCACTAAAGTCATGTGATAGTTCCCGGACTGGACATCTGCTAGCGTCCTTATTAACCGACCACTGTGCACAAATACAGCAGGAGGGAAGACAAAGAAAACAAAACCAAAATGAGCACAAATATGCATCATCAACACCAAAAACATTTGGTCTAACTATATAAATTCCAAGTTCTTGAGGATATTGTTTATTGCATATGAACACAATTATGAACATGCCAACTACCCTTAAAAAAACACAAAGAAAAGGGGGTATTGGTGGGGTTTAAACCGTATCAACATAACTAGAAGAGACGCGCATAAAGAAAAAGGGTTTCTTGTGATGTTTAAACCATATGCTCGTCAACAGAATGACTGGAAAAGGCACTTTTATTCTTTTACCCCTAGTTATTATTTGATTAAAGACATCTACAGTTGTTTGTATAAAATTCGTTTAAAAAAAAAAGAAGAGGAGGAAACTAACCTATAAATGTAAATGAAGGCTTCTGGAACCATTCCAGCAATTGATCCCCATAAATACGGCCAAAATCTCATACTTGTCACCACTACTGCATAGTTGAAAATAGTGTATGGAAAGGGGGAAACCCTGAAGAGTGCAACAACGCGGAATTGATGGAACCAGCTCCCTTCCCCAGCCAGTCTAATCATAGCAGCTTTCTGAGGCCATCTCTTTAGCCATTGCTGCCCACATAATAAGAGAGATGGAAATTAGGATACCAGAAGAGAATGTAATCAGATAACATCATTTCTGTGTATCACCATCAACAAATTATACTGATAACTTACATGAATTCGATCACGGAAGAGTAATCCAATCAAATATGGCAGGATCATGCCAATGGTTGTGCCAACCATGATTATAACAAAACCAAGACCATATCCAAAAATCATGCCCGCCAGCCACATTGAAGGCCCAGAAGGTATAAAGAACACAGGGAAAAGTGCCAGAGAAGTAACAAGTACGAGTGCAAGGACTGGACGACCAAAGGCAGTGGCTTCCCATTTTAGGATTGGAAAGAGAACCTGCGACAAAAATGACAAGGCAAAGGTTTGGTACTGCCACATTGGTAGAACTTTGGCATAGAACAACTCCATTGCAACAATACTCAGATTTAGAAAATTATATACTGTTTTGAATACATGATTTTCAGTATGAAACAATTTAAATACTGTTGAATATGTGGTTTTAAGTTTGAAACAATTTAAACACTGTTGAATATGTGGTTTTAAGTTTGAAACAATTTAAACACTGTTGAATATGTGGTTATATAATGTTGAATGCGTGATTTTAAAATATATCTTTACTTATCACAAAAAAAATAAAAAAATAAAGAATGCATGATTTTAAGTTTGAAACAATTTCACCAAGAAAGATCAAAATGTTCTCTCACAGGGATTTTTATTGGCAATTCATGCCGTCATGTTAGAACATTACTTGTATTTGAAGCTTGGGCCCAACAATATATACAAAGTTCTCACACACCCCTCTTTTACTTGCAACCCCCTCCCATTTGTGGAGCAAAGAGGCAGAAAAATAGAAAGTGAAGAGTATAAACTTCACATGGACAATGCAAATGCAGATACTTAAACAAAGAGATACCAAATCAAGATTTTGCTCACATACCCCTCAGAAGAAATTCCCCCCCCAAAACCCCACCCCCCCCCCCCCCCCCCCCCCCCCCCCCCCTCCCTCTCTCCCTCTCTCTCTCTCATACATGGAAAGGCAGACAAAAAGATAGAGTGGTGTACAAATGTCAAATAGAGAGACAGAGAGAGCGCAAAAACAAAAGAACGAGATAACTCAAACCTCCCAAAGCAAAAGTTCTACTACTAAATTAGACTGATCAACTACCTCCAAAGCTTAAGTTATTAAAAAGGGTGTAAATTAAAATTTTCCATTATTAGAGAGGGTGTAACTTAAGTATTTATATCTTATGTACAATATAACCCCCAATTTTCTCATGTGAATTTTAACAATTCAGGTTTAGAACCGTTCGCTAATTGGATAGATCTTCTAAGAGAACTGTAATAATATAAATGATAAAAATAAAACTTTGGTATAGAACAACTCCATTGCAACAATACTCAGATTTAGAAAATAATATACTGTTTTGAATACTTGATTTTCAGTTTGAAACAATTTAAATACTGTAGAATATGTGGTTTTAAGTTTGAAACAATTTATATACTGTTGAATGCGTGATTTTAAATTATATCTTTTCTTATCAAAAAAAAAAGAATGCGTGATTTTAAAATGTATCTGTACTTATAAAAATAAAAAATAAAAAAAAAAAGGTGATTTTAAGTTTGAAACAATTTCACCAAGAAATATCAAAGTACAGAAATATCAAAGTGTTCTCTCACAAGGATTTTTCTTGGCAATTCATGCCGTCCTTTTAGAACAATACTTGTCTTTGGAGCTTGGGCCCAACAATATATATGAAGTTCTCACACACCCCTCTTTTACATGCAACCCCCTCCCATTTGTGGAGCGAAGAGGCAGAAAAATAGAAAGTGAAAAGTATAAACTTCACATGGACAATGCAGATGCAGATACTTAAACAAAGAGATACCAAATCAATATTTTTCTCACATACCCCTCACAAGCAATCCCCCCCTCATATATGGAAAGCCAAACAAAAAGATAGATTGGTGTACAATTGTCAAATAGAGAGACAGAGCAAAAACAAAAGAATGAGATAACTCAAGACCTCCCACAGCAAAAGTTCTAATACTAAATTAGACTGATCAACTACCTCCAAAACTTAAGTTACTAAAAGGGGGTAAATTAAAATTTGCCATTATTAGAGAGGTGTAACTATAGTATTTATATCTTATGTACAATATAACCCCCAATTTTCTCATGTGAATTTTAACAATTCAGGTTTAGAACCTTTGGCTAATTGGATAGATCTTCTAAGAGAACTGTAATAATATAAATTTATCATGACAAATTAATCTTTATATACATACATGTATAAATGAATACATACACATATACGTACATGGTTTTGCCCCTGATGTATCCGTATCCTGTATTTTTCAAATTTGTCATATTGCTAAAATTTGTAGTATTGTTCTGGTTGTATTATACTGTATCCGCACTCCGTATCTGTGTCCAAACCTCATAGACTTTCAGTCACATACTATTGTTGTGAATTAATTTCTAATAACCCTTAGTTTAGGCTCTTTTTTTACAAAATATGCTGCATTTAATTTGCAAAACTTTCAGATACTTAGTTGATGCAAATGGCAATATTATAATCCAGCACTTAGATATTATACTATAGGTCTGCAACTGGAATAGTCATTCAGTAATATTTTAGTCGTAATTCAGTCATTTAATCTTTTAGTCGTAATTCGTAAACAATCCATGAATTAACACACGGACTAAAGGGCAACAAACCAACAACTGCTGATGGAATCAATAATTGCTACCTTATCACATGATCTCATATGGACATATCTTGAAAAGTCAATGCTGATAGGGGAAAAAGGAATAAAAAAAATTTACCTTCTCAAAAAGAAATGGCACTCCCCATTTCAAGAAAATGAGAAGAATTATTATAGTAATAAAGCACCATATTATGGCCTTGACCCACCAAATTAATAGCTTATTCTTTGTTTCTGATTGAAGTTGTGAGATATCAGCTTCAGCTATCCTTGGTTCGTTGGATATAACCAGCCTTACATATTCACTGTCTTCCCTCACTTGACTGCCCCTATTTGCACTCTGCTTTTCTAAATCCTCAGCTGAATCTGGCATATTTGTTGAGGCACCAGAAATCTGTTGAATGAAGCATCAATGTGCTATTAGAATCAAGTAAAGAAGTTCTTCATGTGTACAATCTTAAAAGATACACCATCTAGCATGTGAAACAAAACGGAATATCTGTAACAAGTTCTAAATCAGGAATCCTGAGACTCATCACAAGTTCACGATCAGGTATCTCCAGGCATTGTGAATAAGATAGAAACTACACGTTACTAACCCAAAAACGGAAGAGTTACATACTACACCACTTCCAATGAAACATGTAAAACTCTCACACTTGAAGGTGTGATTTTCTTCAAATTGATATGCTGTGGGAGGCATTATATGTCAACATATTCAAAATTAGTTCTATACTTAGATTACGACAATTAGAGAAGGTATAAGCTCATATGACATGATTTTCTTCTTAACCAATAAATGAATAAACCAACAATTAATAAATTTATTGCCTGGTGCCGACGTGAAGGCAAGAGAGGTATCTCACGTACTGTTCAATAATTAAGCCAGTGACATGACTAGCTACTAGGTACAGTGATAGTTTTTTAACTGCACATATATAAAACAAAACCCTTTCTGTACCAAAGGCATCCAATTTTTGTCATACTAGACTAGATGAGGAAGGAAAAGTAACTTGAAATATCATGAGAAAGCCAAATGCAAGTTTTCTTTTCACCAGATCAAGTAGCATCTCAGAAGAACAGATCTAACTAGTCCACCATTTAGAAAATCTAGATTTAGGAGTTCAATGGCTAGAAATTTGTTGACTAATGGTGCAACTAATTTTGCTTGGCCATGTGCAATTAAGGCCAATAAAAGATGACATGGTTTGTGCTGAAGGCACTAAAAGGGCAAGGGAGAGGCCCGGCAAGACATAGTGACACTTAACTAAGCAACCTATGGCTTTAGATAGAGAAAATTGGCAGGATTGTGAAGCAAAACCTATGTAGATGGGTTTGAGGAGTGGATACGAGATTGTTAGCAATGTGATTAATCTGGTTCAACAAAGGGTTCAAGTCTTTGAAAAGCCAGTCCAACTTATTGGGCGTAAGCACGTTTGAAAAATCACTTTTCTGCCAATATGGTGCTCAGTTTCATTTCCAGCCTTGAATCGCGATACATTTAGTCCTATAAAATATTTCATTGTACATTTCCGGAAAATGCATTCAAAACAATATTCAATACCATCATTATTATGTCATCAACATTTCAGCATGCTTGTCACTACTATATGTTTTTCTGTCTTTGCACATGCTAACTTCAAAACCTTCTCTGTTCTTATTTTTTATTTATTTTTACATGAAACATAAACTCTTAAAACTTTGACAGGAAAAACTAAGTGGAATATGCAAGGTACATAGCTCGGTACAACATGTACTTGCAAACTAATATCATGTAAAGCAGATGCCCATCTCTCAACGAGATCTTTAATTCTAGCATTATCCGCCATTTTGTTCAAAGAACACGTCCTTACATTACTATTAGAAGAAATAGCGGATACATACATGCATCCCCAAACAGACAATGCCAAAGCATAACTAAGGATCAAGCTAACCGGGGGAGGCCAATCAACAACTACACTAACACTAACAAAGGTATAGCAAAATAGAAAGCATGTAGTCACAAACTTATGATATATCACCTAAAGAAGATGCCTGTCTCTCGACAAGATCTTTTATTTTAGCAGTATCTGCTACTTTGTGCATAGAACACATCCTAACACTGCTATTAGAAACATTCGATGAGAATTCGTACTCATTGCAAAAAGATCTATCATTTCTTTTGCTCAACACAATGATCAACTATAGAAGTAACAACTTTTCTTGTAACTCCACTTATCAACTCAAAATACCATTCACTAGACACTCTATAACGCCCTTACTGACAAATGTGTAAAAAGGGGATGAATTTGGTCTATACATGCATTGACATAGCACAATCTGTTAATCATGCCATAGATTAGAATCACCTATGTCTTCTATAATTTTATAGTCATCCACAAGATAAAGCTATTTATTTTAGTATGGTTCTAAGAAACCAACTAGAAGGTCCAGCTGACAGCAAGTCTTGCTAAAATTACTTCTCATGTGAGCAAAAGTGCATTTACCAACCGGAAGAAAACCGAACCAAACTTATTGTTGCTGCTGCCAGAAAAGAAGTCTAAGAAAGATTGATCTGGAGATTTTGTCAAGTAGCTGACAAAGCTTTGAGCCATATCCTTTCAATTCTTGACTACTGCATGCTTAAGTTACTAAAGGATCCCTGAGGCAGCAGTTGTTCAGATAACAAGTACAGACTGAAAGCTTCTCCAGATGATAATATATCTACAAGATCCCTGGTAAATAACCAATGGTGGTTTGACTGGCTACTCCATCTATTGGACTTGCTCCTTCTACTTCAAAGAAGATGATAATATACCTACAAGATCCCTGGTAAATCACCAATAGTATTTTGACGGCGACTCCATCTATTGTACTTAAGCAAGTCCTACTATGCAATATGGAGAGTAAGCAGCACAAAGTGGATTGGAATTATCACCAGAGTCCTGGATTCTCAAACACCTTAAGCACAAAACCAACGCACCAAAGCAGCAGCAATCTTTAGCTGTCCTCTTTCTTCTAATGCTTTCTATTCGTCATTCATAAAACCCAAATTTTTATTTACTCAGTAAAGAAGAAATTCACATTAACAATTTTCACATGACTACAAATTTTACATTTTAAGCTCCTTTTCTAACATCATATGCCCTAAAATTTCTTACAACTTAATAATTTTCTGCAACCCAAAAGGTACTACTAAAAAAAATATGAATTTCCCAAATAGTTATATCGACCCAAATAAATGATATATATGTATGTGTGTATCTGATAGGAGGAGTTGAAGGGTATTATTACCTTCTCTTTTTTTTCTGTTTATTTCCCAAAATAAATAAATCTACTTCCTGAAGTCACTCTAATTAAACGAAGGTTGAGCTTCTCTTGATTGACAACAAGATATACAAGATTGTGAAGACACCGAACTGCAGAGATAAATAAAGAAAACCGGAGAAACTTCAATCACGATTTCAAAAAAAAAAAATGCAAAGCAAAGCAAGGCAAAAATCAGAGCTAGAGAGAAAGAAAAAACTAGGGTTTCTGGTTAGAACTTACATGTGTCCCGGAGTAAATTTCTCAGCCGACGGACGGCAGTCGCCTGAACACCGGCCGCTCCTCTTTTTCTCTCTCTCTATATATGTCTCTTTCTCTCTCTATAATTGTGGTATAGTAGAACAGACGATTTAGTTATGAGCTTTCTTCGGTATTACTCTCTCCCTGTGGCCTAAACTAAGTAACCAACGTCAGGCCCGCGTGAAAAGATCCGCCTACCTGACTTGACCTCATTTTTACCCAATAACCAAACACCTCCTTTACTTGCTTCTTTTAATTGCCATGAATCTTACCGTTGCATTTTAAAATTAATAGGGCAGTCCCCATCCCACCCCATAAATTAAAAAAAAAAAAGAAAAAAAATCATAACTTGTTCGAGTCGGGTGTATGGTGCACCTCACTTACAAGTAGGGGTGGAATTCTCTCTGTTGTTTTTTTAAAGAGTGAGGTGCATTATACACTCCGATCAAACAAATAAGAAGGAAGACGAGTGGAAGGAAGAAATAAAAGAATGAAGAAACGAATTTTCTTTATTTCGGTAGATAATAGGAGAGAGGAGAGAAAAGATGGTGAGAGTCATTTTTCATCCTTTATAAATTTTCAATTTTTCAAATATAGACAAAAGACCTGAAGAAAAAAATGCAAGCAATTATAAAGGATTTTAAATTACATATATTTCTTTATAATTAAAGCTCTCCCTTCTCTTTTCTTCTAACAAATTACATAAATAATTTTGAAATGACAATCTTAAATGAAATAACAATTCTAACCTTACATATCCAAGTAAATAACTATTACTTTTTAAATGTCACAATTTTCATTTCATTTTTTCTCTCCTTATCTATAATCTTTAATATTTTACATATCTGTTGACAACACAACTAAAATGAAATAAAAATTGAATAATTTTTTTTAAAGGGACCAAAAAAAAAAAAATTTTGTTATTTTGAATAAATTACCTCTTTTGGCCTGATAAAAAAATAAAAATTAACCATTTAAAAAATAATCTCTTTTTACATGAAGATAAAAAAAAAACCCATAAAAATATATTTATTGAATAAATTATCTCTGTTGTCAAGATCCAAATAATAATAATAATAATAATAAGTACAAAAGGAAGACGTTTAAAAAAAAATTATCTCTATTGAATAAATTATCTCTTTTGATAAGACCCAAAAAAAAAAGAGAGGTTATTTTTATCGAATAAATTATTTATTTTGACAGGACCCATAAAAAATTACCAAAAAATAAAGTTACGTCTTATGACAAAATTGAAAAAAAGTCAATTTTGTTGAATAAACATCTCTTTTAATTGTAGTCACTATGAAATAAATTATCCCTTTTGACTGTCAAAAATAAAATTATTAGCATAGAATAAATTATTTTCTTTGAGAAGACCTTTGGAAAAAACAAAAAGAAAGGAAAAAAAATAGTAAAGAAAAAAAAAATTAAAGTTGTATAAAGTGTTTTGACTGCCAAAAATAAAATTATTAGTATAAAATAAATTATTTTCTTTGAAAGGACCTAGAAAAACCAAAAAAAAAGGGAAAAAAATAGTAAAGAAGTTAAAAAAAGGGTAATTATGACATTATAAATTAAGAAATTGTGCATTAATAATTTCAAAGACTTTTTTGTCATTTCTTTAAAAAAAAAATAATAAATAAAGTTTAATCGGAGAAAAGTGGAGTGTCAATCGCTCTCTTTCGTTTTATTCTCTTTCATTTAACAAAATAAAAAGAGGAATTTTAACTCCCTACCCTCGTGAAGTGAGATAAGATTTGTCATTTGGCTAGGCACTCCCTTTTTAATCAAATGCATTCTACTCTTACAGTAAAGTGACACAAGTGCCCTTAACTCATAAATTGAAAAATCAAATACTAAGGGCGTGTTTGTTATTTGTGTTGAAAAAAAAGATTATTTATCATCTCCCTTAACTTGGTAAACCATATGTTTTGGTACGTCACATCTTAAACTATATTTGTCATATTAGTCTTGAGGTTGAAACTTCCCGTATCCTGTCTGAAGATTTATACCAAACCATCATTTTTTTTTTTCCTTATTTTTTCAATGATTTGACTTTGATTTGTTACTCAGCTTATTAATTAAAATGATATTATTTAGGAATGTGCCGTTCTAGAAGCTGTGTAAAAGTCAATCCATTGCTAATAGATATATATTATATACAGTATATTAATATAGCACATGTGATAGTAATCAATCAAGAAAGGGGTAGATGTCAAGACAGAACGTTCCTTGGCAAATATAGAAGGTTCCCAGCCTGTCCTCATATGGTCACTCATTGATTTTTTATTTTATTTTATTTTATTTCTAATTTTCGTCCTCCAAAGAATCCCTGCAGTATGTATGTTTTTTGGAGGAAATTTCCTGTAAACTCAGATTGAAACTATTATGTGAAATGGTAACATCATATGACGCCCCCACTTATATACATCCATATATATATATATATATATATATATGGAAAAAGTGCCAGAAACACCCTTAAAATATACTTTTTATAGCACTTTTATCCTTTATTTAAAAAGGTATGCATAAAACACCCTTAAATTATGACATTTGTGCAAATAAGTCCTATTTATAAAAATTGAACTAAAATGCCCTCAGCAAGACATTTTATAATATATATAATATATATATATATATATATTGTGAAATGACTAAAAAGGGCTCTGCCCTTCTTCTTCTTCATCTTAGTGGTCGCCGAGGGAAGGGAAGGCCGGAGAAGATACATACATATATATATATATATATATACACAGACATATATATACAAGTATATATACACATATACATAGACATAAATATACAGATAGATATATGTATTTATTGTAAATTTACAAATTATATATATACACATAGCCACTGCCAACCATAGCCATTGCCAACCAAACCAAATTCCTCAAACACCAAAATCTAGCCTACAGAGCCAACCACCAAAAGTTGCAAGACCCATTCGCAAACCCCACATCACCATAGTCTACTGCCGCCGTTCGCCATACAGGAATCCTGACTCGTCGTTGCTGTCCGCCGGTTAGTCTGTGGTTAGCTCGACGGAGACTGAGAGTAACGAGGACTTACTCGCCGCGCTGACTCACCAGTTGACTTGGGCCACTCTGCAAGAAACTCAGAAAAACACTCCTCGTCCCCAAAATATCGAGGTATGATGCTATAATCTTTGATTTTCTTTGTTTTTTGTCATGAATTTCATGAGAATGTGTTCAGATTCGGTGTTTGTGTTAACTCAGAAGACATGGGTCTTATCCGGATCGCCTCAATCGACTCTCAGTGGAATCGGAAGGTGGTCTAGCAATGGAAGCCCAAACAGTCCTTCTCAGGTATCGTCGCCGCCGACAACGCTTGGAGTCTAATTAACGCAGTGGCTGGACAGGTGGCTAGGTTGAAGATCACTGGCGGTGAACCTAGAAACAGAGGACTCCTCGGACCCCCTCGCAGTCACAATCCGGTCTATCCTTCGCCGCCGGTGACAGCTGGGTTCGGCCGTGAGCATGTGACGCCTCCGTCTTTATCTCCCTCCCCGGAGACGCCTCCGTCTTTATTCCCTCCCGGCGACATCAACCTCTCACTCCCTCCTTGGCGACGTGTATATGCATATATCTGTCTGTGTATGTATGTGTAATATGTAAATTTACAACAAATAAATATATATATATATATATATATATATTTATGCCTGTGTATATGTGTATATATATCTGTATATATATGTCTGTGTATATATGTATCTTCTCCAGTCTTAGCTTCCCTGGCAACCACCAAGATGAAGAAGAAGAAGGGCCAAGCCCTTTTTAGTGATTACACAAAATATATATTTTTATATATATTATAAAATGTGTTGCTAAGAGTATCTTAGTCCAATTTTTATAAATGGAACCTATTTGCACAAATGTCATAGTTTAGAGTGTTTTTTGCACGGGAGGGGTACAATATACACCATATTGTCACGGGCCTAGAGATTTGGCGCAGCGGCACGGCCCGTGCGGCACCAAGGCGTTGCTTCAGCTCGCGCAAGCGCCCTGGTCAGCCACTACGACCTGCCCTCCCAAGGATACATGCTGACTGGTTTCGGTCTGCCATGGCCTCGTCAGGGGAACGGCTCCAGCTCCCGACCAGTTTGTGCAGGGATGGCCAACTCCCTTCTTCATAGTCAAGTCCAAGACCAGCGACAAGCACCTCGAACTGAACCGAGTCGACCTGCCTGAACTCTGAAGAGGTACCATCCTGTGCTCCTGCACGCCCCTTCCCTGGAACCATTCCCAGTCAAACTCTGCTCTTTGCCAACCAGCATGCGTGTCTTCCATCCTCCAAGCGTCTTAGGAATCACTTCGTGACATTCTCCCACACCCAAATCCTGCGACGTCCTCGTCGCAGTGCGGCGCTTCACTACTGCGTCCACTCCCTTCCAAAGTCTGCCTCCATGCGGTATGCTCGCCTTCCCACCATCGCTTCCTTGTGCAGCTCCCTGCACTGCACTCGCCCAATGATAGGCCTCGGACCAAGGGGACGTCCACTCCTCAAGGACGTGACTCTTCTCCGTCATGCCGCCTCCGCGACATCCCGAGCAAGCAATGGCCTTCTGCCGACTTGATGCTCGCCCTTCACCATGGTTTGCATCACCCAAGGACTAAGCACGAACTTTGGTGCGCGCGGCCCTCCGGCCCTTCAATGCGCAACTTCAACGGACGCTTCTTCCTGGGGAGATGGAGGCTCTCCCCCCCAACTGCATTGATTCCTCCTCATCGACGCAACTTCAATGCACCGTCTTCATTCTCTGACCCCTCCCGGACCGACAAGGGGGCACCCCACCGTGCTTTACCCCAAGTCCTGCTCTGATACCATTTGTCACGGGCCTAGAGATTTGGCGCAGTGGCACGGCCCGTGCGGCACCAAGGCGTTGCTTCAGCTCGCGCAAGCGCCCTGGTCAGCCACCACGACCTGCCCTCCCAAGGATACATGCTGACTGGTTTCGGCCTGCCATGGCCTCGTCAGGGGAACGGCTCCAGCTCCCGACCAGTTTGTGCAGGGATGGCCAACTCCCTTCTTCATAGTCAAGTCCAAGACCAGCGACAAGCACCTCGAACTGAACCGAGTCGACCTGCCTGAACTCTGAAGAGGTACCATCCTGTGCTCCTGCACGCCCCTTCCCTGGAACCATTCCCAGTCAAACTCTGCTCTTTGCCAACCAACATGCGTGTCTTCCATCCTCCAAGCGTCTTAGGAATCACTTCGTGACAATATGCATACTATAGGGGTGTTTTTTTTGTACTTGACCCATATATATATATATATATATATATGTTTCAAGGACGATGAAGTCTTTCTTTCAATAAAAATTCCCAACCAGAATTCTACTGCCCTTTCTTTATAAATTCCTTTAATGCTATTTTATTATTAAAATATTAACTATACCCACTTACTTCTAATTAGTAATTAGTATCAATTTAAAACAATAATGAAAAAAATAAGTTAATTAAATTCAACCTTTTTTCTATTGTACAATTAATGAATTATTAAATTCTTTTAAATTAAACCCACTGTAATAGAAATAAATATTTTTTAAAAAAGTTCAAATTTTGTTTTTTCTGTTTTTACATGAAGTGTTTTGCTCATATACAATTAATGAATTATTAATTTTTTCACTTTTTTTTCCCCCTATTTTATAATGTTTCAGAAATAACCAATTCCAAGAATTAAACGTAAAATTATTTAAAAGCATATATATATATATATAAACTTCACAGATACACTGGTGTTCGTTCCCCTAGAAATTATAAAGTATTCATCCCCTTAGTGCTCAATTTAAAAATGTACATCTTAGTATAAAATGTAAAATAGAATAAACATAGATAAATAAATAGATCAATCCCTTACCATCTCATACTGAGACAAATAAGTTCATCAATAATTAAAGGATAATTTTTTTTTTTTTTTTTTTTTTTTTTTTTTTTTTTTTTTACACAAAAATAATTAAAGTACACTGACAAATTTATCATCGCTCCTAGTTCCTAAACATTTTCAGAGATTACAAGTATTCATCACATAGTACATAGTAACATATTGATTATGACGGGTGAAAATATCTATGAAATTGAACATCATTGAAGCAAATTTAACCCCAACATCAATATTCGACATTTTCTTTTCATATATAATATTCAATAAAAGAGACTAAAAGAATCATGCTTAAATTAGAGGAATACTAAGACGAGGTAGTTGAAATGATTTTAATATATTAAATATAATAAGAAATATGGCCTGAAAAAAAAAAAGAACGAGAAAATTTTGGATGGTTAAACAAACCTGCATGGTAAGCATGAAAATAGATCCTATGTAGTGATAGTTTTCCTTCTTAATTATAAAATTTTAATGGAAGCAATCCAATGTGTTTTAGCCTAACAACTTGGAAATGCACACACAAGCACCTAAAAAACCAGAAATCAATCTCTGAACTATACATATCAACAGGACAATATGCTGCTATCAACAAATATTGAGCAGCTGCTATCTTAAAACCTAATTTTGAAGCAATGTATTTTGTCCATTGCTCTTTCCTCTCCTCCACACCGTGGAGCTCAAAACAAGATGCATACCGTTTAAGACCATTCTCTCATTTAAGTTTCAAAAGTGGTGCCGCTGCCGACCCAAACTATGAAAATATTACCTTGAGTTGGTGTTCATCTGATTTTTCTAATACACGAGGCTACACTGCTACAGCCTAAACCAAAAAGAAACAGATTGGATTTCCAAAAATCATATGTTGAACTTTATAGTGCACTATCGCCACTGATTTCAAAATCGCCACGCTTGTGCAAGGGATCTGATGTTAATCAAAGAACCCAGGAAATGCAGTACACCTTGCGAGGGAATTAAGGTATCACAGTCTCTTGCTTAGCTCCGTAGTTTTTGCTGAAGTTTCTCAACGGACGCAGAAGACTGCACATCATCTGAATCCACTTTCAGCTGAAACAACAAATTAATGGTGATTTTCCCAGATGGCAGCAGATTTAAATAAACAGAAGCAGTGTAAGGAAGGAGAAAACCGTACCAGATTGAGATGGTTCAATAGAGCCCCATGTAACAACTTTTTCAGTTTTCTACACTGATCAATCATGTGACCCGAACTTATCAATTCCTCAAGTCGGCACCATAGCTGCTCAACTATTGCATACGGGAACCAAACTGCAGATGGCCTTTTCCGACGAATAATGTCTGCCGGTCTCTGCAAAGTGGTAATTGCTTCAGTACACAGCCACAAAAAATCTTTAACAGCCACTTATTAAAGGATCTAATAAAGGTCAAACAATCACAGCACACTTAGCCATCTCATGGAGAATAAATGGCCCCCTTTGTGTTTTACAAAGCCTTCGATGGTACAAACCCATTAAGAATAATGCCATGAAAGAAATGAAAACTATTATCACCGTTAACAATCGTCTACTATAAAAGCTAAGACTGCTAAGAGAGGGTTTAACTTTAATATTTAAATCCTTCAACCCGCCCCCTCACGTGTGGCCTTCTTTTGGTCCAACACGTGCTCCAATTTTAATTATTAGGGTGTCGGTGAGGTTTGAACACAGGACCTAACCTGCTCCGATACCATGCTAACAACCATCTACTATAAAGCATAAGATGTTAGAGAGGGGTGTAACTTTAAAAATTAAATTGTTCAACAACCACAAATGGCAAAGGATCAGTCTCAGAAATTTGTAATACTGACACCAATTTAATATTTTCTTCATATGGAATGATTGCATCCATTTCCTATACAATCCCGTTCATGATGCATTTCTAGAGAAAACTATAAATGTCACCAAATAATTACCATTAAACATCCATATAAGCCATTTATGTCGCAAATCCAATTTTAACTTCCCCCAACCCATTTCCAGATCTGGAAGGGTTCAATTCAAGCACGGAAGGGACAGGGCTGTATTGATGCAGTTTGAGGCCTAAAGCGAAACCACTAAATTGGGCCTTCTCACATTAATTATATTAATACAGTAAGATAAAAAAATTCGGTTAAGAGAAACTTGTATTGACAAATAGAAGAGCAGTTGTACTTATTTGGTAATTACTGTAATACAATACACACCATAATTATTTCATTAAAAGAAATATATAACTAAAAAAAATGAGATATGGGGCCTCTTCTCCCATTGAGGACCTTAGGCGACTTAATTGCCTTATCGTTGAGCTGCCCCTGACAAGTGGTGCATGTACAATAAATCTAGTCATCACAACATATAAATTTTCATTTTTCTTGCTTGGGTATATAGCAAATAAAATTGAATGATATTTCAATAATATCTTTGAATCTCAAATCATACAACTTAAACAAGAATCAAACAACAAATTATCAGTACCTAACATTTATAAACCATTGAGATGCTTAACACATCTATATTATTGACATAATGACATACTAACACAATTATTGATACTATGGCCAAAGTGAACTAAGCCAGAGCCTCAAGGCCAGCACATGAAAAACTAGACAACTAAATAACCAATCCAGTGCATCAACTATCCACTCAAAACAAATATTTATTGTATTTATATTTGGAGGGTCCAGACGCTTAAAAATTATAGTTTCCTATAGAATGTTTGAAGCAATTTCCGTTGTTTGAAATTAAGAAAAAATAAGACGCCATTGCTTGGTTTAATGGTAAAAGCTCAGCTATCAAACATCATAATAAGGGTAAGACAGCCACTTAGTGTTAATAATGCTAAAGGTTAGGGGGGATCAAGTTCACTCCACTGCATCCCATGATTAATGGGGAGCAAAGTCAGTTATGGTATAGTATAAATATAAATAAATACTATACTTCATTTTTTTGATAAGTAACTATACTTGATTGGATTTGGCTAGCAATTTCCCTTTGCAATCAAGCGAACGGCTTCAAAGGGTTGATATAATACTCAACGAAGTTGTTGATTCGTTCCAACCCCACAGTTAAGGATTATAGGTGTATTCTGCTAACCAACAGCTAGAAATATAATGAATGCAGACCTTTTCTGACAGAGCAAAAGGGCTTTACTTCCGTTTGCATTGCTATGATTGCAAAAAAGATTGCATTGACAAATTTCGCTTCATTTATATTTTTTAATTTGTTCTTTCAATTTCTAAAAGCATATTAAAATTCTGCCATCCAATGGTAGAAGGAAGTAGTTTTGGTATCAAACATTTGTGGTTCTTCCAAGCCTTTATGGGTTCTTTGCAAATAAGGATTCATCCTCGGTGTGCCTTTTCTTGATGCACTTATTCATTTTTGCATATTTTCTTCGTGTTCTGACTATTTCTAAACTAAGGACAGAAGGATTAAACATTAATTGAAATTGAAACGCCCATGACATATACTATTTAAGGTATTGACATGCTTACGATTAATCCCTGCATTTTGCGGTATGGCAAAATTTAACTTACTAATATCTAGAAAGTATTGTGTTTTAATCGACTATAGAAGTCCAAAGAGCTACTATGAATAGTATTAGCAGGTTGTAACAAACTATTGTTAGGCAACATCACCACCACCACCACCATTGCCACATCATCGACACCATCACCATCTATTATGTTTGAACAAGGTCGGCCACATGAATTCTATTTTTTTCGTTCTTCTCTATATCAAGTTATCTCACTTACTATGTTTAAAGTTCTGAAATCATTTCTAATAACTTCATCCCATAATAATTTTTGTCGCCCTCTCTGTCTCTTACCAAACTATTCATCTTCAGCAAGCACATCTATACATATTCATTGTATATGTCCACACCTCCTAAGTCTAATTTCTCTTTTTTTGTCAGTATTGGGCATCACTCCTAATTCTTCCCACACCCTTCCATAGTAGCCCTATCTTTTGTAGTCACTCCGACCATCAATCTTAACATCCTTATTTATGCCAGATGAATGCATTGTTCTGGTTTCCTTTTTAAAGTCCAACAGTTTGTTCCAAATAAATTAGTTGGCTTAGTAATTGTTCTATTGCTATTAACTTATTTGTAATTCTTTTACTGCATAAAATACCACTAGTCTATCACCATTTTGACCACCCTGATCCAAATTTACTAGTGAAATCACTGTCCATCTCTCCTTATTTTATTGTTGTTGATCTTAAATATCAAGCGTGGTTATTTTGAATAATCCTTTGGTTTTGAGGTGGGATAGTTGTTCAATCAATATCTGAATCTAAAATAATTTAACATAATCCTTGGGTTATGTTATCATCATTATACTATTATCTAAATTTGTATGTTATAAAAAAAATTCACTGGACTTCGTAGAACAGTGATATTTAAACGATAAGAGTCAACACGACAACCACCAAGCCTTTTCCCAATTACCGTTGGCTACATGAATCCCATGTTTCCATTCTGGTCTATTTAAGGCAATAGCCTTAGTCAATCCACATGCTATCATATCTTTCTTTACCAACTCTACCCACATTAACTTTGGTCTTACTCTTCCCCTAGTATTACACTCAATGTGAACTATGTCACTTTTCCTAACTGGTGCTAAAATTCTTCTTTGCACATGAGCAAACCATCTTAACCTACCCCATTTCACTCATTTTATCTCCAATTGGTGCTACTCCAACCATCTCCCAAATGTGATCATTTATAATTATGTCCTTTCTAGTATTATCGCACATCCATAGCAACATTCGCATTTCTGCTACTCTCACTTTACAAAAATGTTGTTTCCTAGCTATCCAACAACCAACATTCGGTGCCACAAAGTATGGTTGGTCTAATAGTTGTTCGATAGAACTCCCCTTTCAATCGTAAGGGAATACGCCTATCACGCAGTATACTAGATGCACTCCTCCATTTAATCCATCTTGCCTTGATTCTATGATTAACGTCATCTCTAATTTCTTCCACATTATGAATAATTGAGCCTATGTTACGATAAACGTAGCGAACCCAAGATTAAATCAAGAAACACGACAGAAAAGTAATCACACCACGCACAAAGAACACAAAGATTTAGCGTGGTTCAGTAAAGCCTACATTCACGGTGAAGATCTAGCAAAAGTTTTCACTATGCGAAAAATAAGAGATTATAAGTTTCAGCCCCTCTTTTTCTCTACGATTTTCAGTCTCTCTATATCCCACTCCAAAGCCTAGACGCCCTTATATATCGGGCTACAAGAGAGTACTAATTAGGGTGGTCCACGACCCACAAGCAAAAATGGGTCAATAATTTTCCAACGGGTCGTCGGGTCGTAAACGGGTCACAATGCAACCCAACACCAAATTCGGGCCACAACATCATAGCCTAAATAACAAAAATGTTTTTTTTTTTTTGATAAGTAAAAATAAATAAAAATGTTAATTTTTTGAACCTCTTGATTCTCAATCCTCATTACATCCCCATTTATCTTTCTAGATTTACTAAAGTCACACTTCACAAATTCAATTTTGTTTTGACTAATCTTAAACCCATTCGCTTCTCTCCAAACCCCTTATTTGCCATTAACCCCTTTCTAGTCTCATCAACTAAACAATATCATCGGCAAATAACATACTCCACGGAATCTCATCTTGGATGTGTCTTGTCAGGTCATCTATAACTAGAGCAAAAAGGTATGGACTTAATGCCGACCCTTAGCGTAAGCCTACAGTTATTGGAAATTCAATTTCCCCAACAGGCTATCTAACTATAGTCACACAACCATCATACATGTCCCTTATTGTGTCAATGTATCCCTTTGTGACTCCTTTCTTTTCTAAAACCCTCTATATTAGGTGTCTAGGTACTCTATCATAGGCTTTCTCCAAATCAATAAAAACCATATGGAGATCTCTCTTCTTCTTTCAGTATCTTTCCATTAGTCTCCTCAATAAATAAATAGCCTCCATCGTTGACCTACCCGACATGAATCCAAATTGATTCTTCGACACTTCCGTCTCTCATCTTAGGCGTTATTTAATCTCTCTCCCAAAGTTTAATAGTGTGACTCAGTAAGTTAAAACCACTGTAATTATTACAACTTTGTACGTCCCCTTTATTTTTATATCTAAGTACTAAAATACTTTGGCGGCACTCATACGACATCTTCTTAGATGTTATTATCTTATTAAACAATTTTGTTAGCCAAGAAAAACCAACTTCGCCTAAACACTTCCACACCTCAATAGGAATGCCATCAAGTCCTAAAGCCCTCCCCGATTTCATCTTCCATAAGGCATTCCTAACCTCCCACTCCTCGACCCTATGGAAAAAGAGGTAATCTCTAACATATTCTTCTAAGCACATACTTACTATACTGTTTTCATTTACAAATCGCCATATGCTCTATGTTTTGTCTCACTTACTACATTCTTAACTTCTATATTTACTTTTTTCATATTTGTCAAACGCTTCACTATTTTTAGTTTTTTGCCAAAGTTTATAGCATTCCCGTTTTGTTTATAAGACTTTTTGGACCTGTTCATTCCACCACCAAGTTTCCTTGAATAATTCTCCCGTTCCTTTTCATTCTCCTAGGACTTCTTTTGCTACTCTTTTAATATATGTAGTCATCTTATTCCACATTTAGCTTGTGTAGTCTTTTACATTCCACGTTCCTTCTTTTAACATCCTATTTTTTAAAATAATTCTTCGACTAACCAACCCCCCCCCCCCTAAACTCCACCACCAAGTCCACAAATAAATCTAAAACAAGAAACCTATGTTGTGATGTCAAACTCTCTCCGTGAATGAACAAGTTAAAAAGTAATCAATTTGACTCATATTTGATCCACTTTTAAAGATTATTACGTGTTCATCATACGAGTCAACACGAATTGTCTTTAAAAAAAGTTATGAATTTTTTTTGGGTTCAGCAATGGCTCCACAATTCCCAATTGTTACTGAAAATTTTCAAAAAAAAAAAAAGAGAGTAGTTTTTCATCTTTAAACAGTGTCACATAACCAACATAATAGTATTTTGGAATCTCTATATAAACCAGCTATGAAGCACGAACACCGACACGGGTACGATACGACACGAACACGGCGATACAGCAAATTTCAAAAAAATAGGACACGGACACGGCAAGGATACGATAATAAAATAATAATATATATATTTATTATATATAAAATTTTAATTTCTCTTAATTTTAAATTTATATTAATAGACATGATCCATTTAAATTAAGTCCAATCCAAATTCTATTAAAATTCAAACAATAAATATGTAGTATATCTTTATATCCAATACTAGAATTTGTATCAATACTAGAATAGTTTTAACTTTGTAACCAAACACATTGAAAAGGAGATAAGATTACAATCTTATCTCCTCGGTCTTCCCACGTTTGACTGACCATATTCTCTCTCCTCTAGCCAGACGCCATCTCCTCCGTCTCTTAACTTTCTATCTTCCTTCTCCTCCGTCTATTGATTTATTTTTAGAGAATATGCAAACAAATTTTCACTCAAACAATTAAAAGAGATTTCTTTTTTCATTCTGTCTTCAATTAATCCACACCAACCAGACCATGATCATCAGGTTCTTCATCATCTCTTTGTTGGTTTCCCCTCTCTCTTCCAATTTCTCTCTCATCCCCTCCATTTTTTTATTTAGAGTTGCTTTTGGTTTGTTGTCTTCGATCTGTCCACACAAAAAAAACACATATCTCTCATCCTCTCTTTCTTTCAAACAAGAATCTGAACTGCGGTATCCTCCGGTGTACCAGTCGTGTCCTCCGGTGAGTTCCCGCCGTATCTCATGGCATGTCCATCTTGAAAAAATGAATAAAAAAATAGGACACCGGTAGAAGGGTGTCGGACACATGTCCGAGGTTGGGACACGCGTTACATGGACACGTGTCCAACACTGGTACGTCACCCCTACGACGCGTGTCTGTGCTTCACAGTAAACCAGCATCAGAAACCAGAACTCATCTAAAGATATCAAATGGTTGAAACAATATATTACCTAAGGATAATAATAACTTATAAATCAATAAGCATATGTTCAGTTGTATTTTAAATATGAACAAATGGGTACTTTGCAGAAAATGGTAGGGAGTGTATTCGTGCGCATGGTCTCAAGTGTTGGGGGTTGGGCAAAGCATTTCCTGCCAATAGATTAAACATGGAAATGGAAACACAATAATCTCTTTAAATATGACGAGGACCAGCAGAAATTTATAAAATTTCATGGTGCTTTTGCGGTCATAAATACTATGTCAAGTAAAGAAAAGGGTAAAATTTTACCACCAATGCAAAGGCTTCAATGTACTCAACCAACAGATTAGTAGCTTCTGCATATCGAGCATATTCAACATATAGTCGAAACAAGGATGCAGGGTCTGATTCTTCGCCAGTCATCCCCCAAGTACTTTCCCTTTGAGCACCCTGTGACAGCCAATCAAGTAATATATTAGTGTGTGATTTCAAACATCATAAAACAAAGAAAAAATTACGTACACCAATAGTCAACAGGCAAGTTTCAACCTCATCTTAAACTATAAAACACCGACTTTAATGAGAAAATAAAAACAACAAAACAAAAAACTGGAGAGAGGCCAGCTAGATCCAAGATCTTTTAAGTTCAGAAGAGTCCCACAGCAGTGCAAAAGATTACTGATGTACTGAGTTTTGAATGTCCTTTCCCATATCCATAGTGTTTAACTGGATAGGAACATAATATCCAATTCAGATCAATGGGACAATGTTTAAGATGAAAAAAAGTTAAGTGAAAGTGAAACTGATCTGATAGCGAGGGTGATGTAAGGGAGAGTCTGAAAGAATGGATGAATTTGGTAATGGAGAAAATTACCTCAAAAGATAGATGAAGTTAATCTAGAAATAACATATTCAGTCCCCACACAGCAACTATGTATTATATGTCACTCAACTCCACTTAAGAAAGCCTTTTCCCAACTAATTGGAGTTAACTACATGAATCATGTATAACCATTCTGCTGTTTTTTCAGTCATAATATCAGTTAAATCACATATCATCATCTATTTCCTTACTATCTAAGCAAATTAGTTTGGTTCTCCCCCAGCTTAACCCTCAATAAGGATTACGTCCCTCTTTCTCGCTGATGCAGTTATTGGCCGTTATTATACAAGGTTAAACCAGTTATTAGCCATTATAACACAAGGTTAAACCATCTTAATCGATTCTCTCATTTTATCTTCAGCTGGTGCTTTTGTCATGTTTCTGGTCTTAGCCCACACCCAACACAACATTCACATTTTGCACTCTCATTTTATAAAAATGTCATATCTTAGCCACAAAATGTTATGCCTTGTAAAGTGTGACTGATCTAATAGTGTTTTTATGAAATTTACCTTTTAAATATAGAGGTATACACCAATCACATGATAATACCGAAAGAGCTCTTCCATTTAATGCATCTTGTTTTAGTTTTATGAGTAACAACGTCATCTTCAATTTCTCAGTCTTGTTTGCTTGCAGCAGTTGTGTGCTAGCTGTTTGTTGAGTTGTTGACTCAATGTGACAATCAAATATCAAATAAACTAAAAGGAAAATTCTATAAAAGGGATTGCTGATTCTAAAATTGCTGGTCATGCTTCTCCTCTTTTCCCTCTGAGACGTCGGAGTCTTCTACTCCGGCGTCTCTTGATCTGTCTCCCTGATTTCTTTTCTTGTTTTTTTTCTTTCTCTTTCTCTCCGTGTTTTCTGTTTTATTGGATTTATGAGGGTGTTGGAAGGCGAGAAACGTTCCTTTCTTGATGTGGCAAGCCTCCCTCGTTTCACTGTTGATGGACTCATCAAAACTGAATCGACAAGCAGAGGTCACATATTTAGGGTGGACAATCACAGTACAGCGATCTGTGAGGCTATGCTGAGATCTTGCTTGGTTGGGGGTTTTGACAGAGAGGTGGGTAGCCTGCAAAGGATTGAGGAGTGGGCTTCTAAGGCTCAGAAGATTTCTTGTGGAGTGGTGGTTACTGTTTTGCCAGATGGACTTCTTCTGTTCAGATTGCCATCGGACTTCATCTCCCTCACTTGTTGTTTGGTTGAATGGAAGGGATAGTGGAAATGATAGATAGGGTGATACCTTTTTTTTGTATGGTTGGAAGGAAGGGGAGTTTAGTTTTTGTATCTTTTTACCAATATACCTTCATTATATAAAGTATAAAAAAAAGTGTTTTTTAGGAAAGGTCATAATTGGCATTTTTTATATTTAGCTAGTTATTCACTCCTTCAAGGCCATTCCAATCACTATCAACTGATGCCTTATGCCTGCTCCTAAAATATTTCCTTGTTAAAATTAAAATAAAGAACAACTGCCAAAGATGTTCCTACTAATGAAGTTCTATACTTCAAGTTCGTTTCACCATATTATCAAAAAACACGTATTATTCAGAATGTCTGGTTTTAAAAATATACCTTGAACATGCGAACCAGCCAAAGCGGCAATTCAATCTGAGGATCTGCACGAAGAAGAGTCTCTGCAACAATTACGGGTAGTCTGGGATGAAATCCTTTATATTTTTCCTGCAATTAATGAATGCTCGTGGGAAAAAAATGTTAATGGAGATTCTAGGATACAAAGACAAATAAGAACTTACAAAGTTGCTTGTACTCCATAAACGTTTATACTACTTCTGAACATATTCAACAATTAAGTCACTAACAGCCTCTCCACCTCCCCAACCCAAAAGGACAAGGTCAAGACTACACTTCAGCTCCATTAAGGAATTGAGAGACATTAACCATTATTACAAATCTACCTTCAAGGACATTTAAAGACTCACAAGCTCTCGATTAGGTTCTAAGATTAGCCTAACCCATAACAGTTACTCTAGACATGGCCACTTAAGCGAGTCTGCTCTACACCTATTTCCATTCTCCATGATGACCATGACAACATGTATAACCCCCATGCATCAAGAAACTTCAGAAGCAACATGCCTTACTTCTTACATTACATAACTAATACTCATTTTTCTAAAACTAAAATGCATATCATCAGAAGATACAGCACACTGCACTTACAAATTTATCACAAAACAAGAATATAAAAACCTTAAAATATTTGTGTTGAAGATGACATCTTTCAGCAAAATGTTAAAAAAGCAATAAATTCTAATAAATGGTGTTTTCTCTAGTTCCAGATATCTGGTATTCAAAGAATTTAAAGTGGATATTGGTCTTGCTTTCAATCATTTTATAAGAAGACAGTATTATCAGTAACTATATAGAAGCAACTTCAAAAATTCAGTTTTTAATGCAATGGCATCTACCAGAAGATTCATTCATCTTTTTGCTGCATCCTTCAACCATTTTATAAACCTTTCAGAATGACAACATTTTGTAATTAGCAGACAATAAGAACAGGAGAAGAAGCATACATGTATAAATTTGATATATGTGTTTGCGTGTTTATATACTATATGCTTTTAATAAACATATTGTTCGAATTCATGAGAGAGAGAGAGAGAGAGAGACTGTGTATATTGTATATATCATTAACCCTTAAGCCTACAGTGGCTTATATGAAAACAATAACCTAATTATACAAGGTTACCTAATTACACAATGATCCTAACAACTATGGGTAATTACATAATGACCCAACATAAATATATATATACATAAACATTCTAACACTCCCCCTCAAGTTGGAGAATATATATCAAATAACCGTTTATGACCCAATGCTTTGGTAAACATATCAGCTAGTTGATCTTCAGACTTTACAAATGGAGTAGAAATGCTCCCACTTAATATTTTTTCCCGAATGAAGTGACAATCAACCTCAATATGTTTGGTCCTCTCATGAAACACAGGATTCGATGCAATGTGAATAGCTGCTTGATTATCATAGAACAATGGAATAGGAGCTTCAACTGTTAACCCAAGTTCTTTTAGAAAATGTTGTATCCATGTCAACTCACTAGTGGTATGGGCCATTGCCCTGTACTCAACTTCAGCACTAGATCGAGCTACCACCGTTTGCTTTTTACTTTTCCATGTAACAAGATTTCCTCCTGCAAATGTGCAGTAGCCTGTAGTAGATCTCCTATCTGAAGGGGAACCAGCCCAGTCAACATCTGTAAAACCTTCCACCCTGAAATGACCATTTGATTTGTATAGTAACCCAAAACTTGGAGCTTGCCTGAGATATCGGATAATCCGAAGAACAGCAATCCAATGTGGCATTCTAGGAGTTCCCATGAACTGACTTACAACACTAACTGCATATGAAATATCAAGTCGAGTAATAGTGAGATAAATTAATTTCCCAACAAGGCGACGAAATCTGCCCGGGTCATTAAATAGATCACCCTCATCAAACACAAGTTTTGTATTTGAATCCATAGGAGCATCAACCGGATGACCACCCAACATACCCGTTTCTTCTAGCAAGTCCAACACATATTTGCGTTGAGATAAACTTATATCCTTCTTGGATCTAGCAACTTCAATACCCAAGAAGTACCTAAGTTTACCCAAGTCTTTAGTGTGGAATCGATTTTCCAGAAACAACTTCAACTTAGCAATGCCTTCAGAATCATCACCTGTGATCACAATATCATCTACATACACCACAAGAAAAATGAAGCCAGTGCGCAGGTGAAATACCGAATGATCGGTCTGGCATCTATTAAAGCCAAATTCTAATGCCGCCTCAGAGAATTTTCCAAACCAAGCCCGCGGAGATTGTTTCAATCCATGCAGGGCCTTTTTAAGGCGACAAACAGTGTGACGATACTCCCCCTAAGCAACAAACCCAGGTGGTTGCTCCATATAAACTTCTTCAACCAAGTCACCATGTAAAAAGGCATTTTTGATATCCAATTGAAACAACGGCCAGTTACAATTGGCAGCAATGGAAATAAGTACCCGAATAAAAGAAATCTTAGCAATAAGGGAAAAAGTCTCATCATAATCAACACCATAAGTCTGAGTGTACCCTTTTGCCACTAGACGAGCCTTCAATCGCTCAATAGACCCATCATGAAGGTATTTAACTGTGTAAACCCATTTACAACCAACCGTTTTGGAGCCTGAAGGTAAGGGAACAAGATCCCATGTTCGATTATTGTGAAGGGCATCCATTTCATCTACCATGGCTTGGCGCCAACCCGAATCAGAGAGAGCTTCCTACAAAGTCTTGGGAACAAAAGTAACAGACACTTTGGATAAAAAACAAGATAAAAGAGGATGAAATATGACGGTAGGAGACAAAGTTAGAAATGGGATGTACAGTAACACACGACCGAATACCTTTACAGAGAGCAATAGGCAAATCATGAAGCAAATGTGTTGGATCCGAAGACTCTGAAGGAGATGGAGGGAGCGAAGGAGGCGATCGAGGACGTCGAGTATACACCTGCAATGGGACAACGGAGCGAGGAGGTGCGGAAGCAAGAAACAGAGAGGGAACCATTAGCAGAGGTGGCTCAGGAGTAATATCGAGAGGAGTAGTAGAATCAGAAAAATATGGAAGAGACTCAGAAAAGGAGACATCAGCACTAGTAAAATAGTGTTGAAAATGAGGACTATAGCAACGATAACCCTTCTGAGTGCGAGAATAGCCAAGAAAAACACACTTAGTGGCACGAAGGTCGAGAGTTTATCAAGACCAGATCCAAGGTTATGGACATAACGCACACAGCCAAAGACCCTAGGAGTAAGATTAAACGATGCGGAGTCGGAAAATAGAACAGAATGAGGAGATTGACCTTGTAACACTGATGAGGGCATCCGATTAAATAAGATGACATGCCGTAAGAATAGCAGCATCACTCCAAAAACGTTTGGGAACATGCATATGAAATAAAAGGGCACGACAGATTTCCAGGAGATGACGATTTTTATGTTCAGCTACTCCGTTTTGTTGAGTATAAGTACAAGAGGATTGATGAATGATGCCTTTAGCATGGAAATAAGTCTCAAAAGGGTCCGAGAAATATTCTTTGGCATTGTCAGAACGTAAAATTTTAATGGAACACCCAAATTGAGTTTTTATTTCTTTGCGAAATATTTGAAAAATAGAGAACAACTCAGAACGATTTTTCATTAAAAACAACAAAGTCATACGAGAATGATCATCCACAAAAGTCACAAAATAACGAAATCCATTAATAGAAATATGCTTTATTGGTCCCCATACATCTGAATGAACTAACTGAAAAGGACTAGCGACACGATTACTAGCTCTCAATTTGAAAGAAATACGACAATGCCTACTAAGCTGACATGCTTCACAAGACATGGACTCAACACGACTAAGACCCGGGACTTGATGCTGCAAAACTGAGAAGGATGGGTGGCCGAGACGACAGTGCCACTGGAAAGAAGACAAAGATGATTGAAGAGCCGTGGGAGATGATGCAAGATCGAAGTAATACAAGCCACCTACTTCATGTCCTGTACCAATCTTCTTCTTCATCTTGAGATCCTGAAAAATACAACATGTGGGATAAAATATAACAGAGCAGTTAAGAGATATAGTAATTTTACTAATGGACAACAAATTAAAAGGGAATTGAGGAACATATAACACAAAGGAAAGGGACATAGAAGAGGTGAGATGAACAGTTCCCAAACCCAAAACTGTAGTAGATGAGCCATTAGCAAGAGTAACACTTTGAGAGGAAGGAATAGACTGAAAATTAAATAAGAATGAGAACTACCAGTCATGTGATCGGATGCGCCAGAGTCAAGAATCCAGGAACTTTGACGAGAGGACAAGAGACATGCAGGGGCAATACCTGATTGGGCAAAGAAAAACATGGAAGATGAGGTGGAAGGCCGTTGTTGAGACAGAAACTGAGCATGTTCATCACGGGGAATCGTAACCATAACAGGCTCAACAAACACGTGTGGAGCAGGGGGTGTGGCAAAAGAATCCCCGTCATTAGAATTAACTTGATGTGCATAGGAAGAAGGTTGCGGTTTCCCATGAAGATCCCAGCAATAATTGACAGTATGATTAGTAAGACCGCAGTGAGTGCACAGTTTCGAGTCTCGACCTCTGCTACGACCACGACCACGAGTAAAAAGACCGCCACCGCCACGGGAAGACTGAAAGCCACCCTGATTCACAACTAAAACAGAACATTCACTGCTAGGAGGAGCAGTGACATTCACTGCTAGCAGAGACATGCAGGGGCAATCCCATTGCCCGTGAGAGATATTCTTCTAGACTGTGAGTACCTTGCAGGAGGTCAAAGAATTGTCTGCACAACTCATAAATTCTGGTTATATTGCCAGTACCCGAATATAACTGTTGGAGTCTGGTCCATATCTCCTTGGCAGTGTCCAAATACAACAAGTTGGAGCTAATATAAGGTTCAATACAATTCAGCATTAAAGAAATGATCCGAGCATCACTTTGTTCCCATGAACTGAAATCAGCATCACTGTCCTTAGGTTTATCCTTAACCAAATAAGTGCCAAAGCCTTTGGCTTTCAGGAAAATGGTTACTGTATTGGCCCATAAGATGTAATTTTTGCCATTGAGCTTAACTGAAGTCATGGGAGGATTGAAGGAGGCAGAGGATAAGAGATCGGAACTGGCAGCCATGGAGAAGAACCAAAAAAAACGAACTTGGAAAAAAAAAAAACGCAGAAATTGTATTCTGGCCGGATCTGGAAAACGGGTCAGATTTGGTCAAACAGGCCGAATCTGGTCAAACGGTCTAGATCTAGTCAAATGGGCCGGATCTCTGCTATCCCAATTTTAGTAAACCAGGGTTGGAATAGCTATCCCGATTTTAGTAAACCAGGGTTGGAATAACATAACCGTGTAGCCAAACATGGTTCTTCTTCTTCACACCTTCACGGACGCCGAGGAACAACACAGCGGAGGCTTCGGCGACCCAGTCACAAGCAGCAGACGAATCAATAAGCAGCGACCACACTGAATCAAAACCTCTGAAACTTCCAGCCAAAAAGAAACCACGAATCGATGAACTCACCGTTGCAAATGACGACGGTAGATGTCAGCGAGCTCGCTGACAACCAAAACGGCAACGACACGAGCAGCAAAACGAGCTTCAGGTCTGACGACGACGAATAAGGCTTCAGATCTGAGGACGACGAACGAGGAGCTCTCAATCCGACCGGCGACCAAACTTCCGGCAGAGAGAACAACACCAAAATTGCGATTCCGATCGTGATTCCAATCTTATACAAGAACAACACACTTGCCGTTTCCCACACCCATGAATTAATATTGCTCTAATACCATGTTCGAATTCATGAGAGAGAGAGAGAGAGAAAGAGAGAGAGAGAGAGCAAGACTGTGTATATTGTATATATCATTAACCCTTAAGCCTACAATGGCTTATATAAAGGAAAACAAATAACCTAATTATACAAGGTTACCTAATTACACAATGATCCTAACAACTATGGGTAATTACATAATGACCCAACATAAATACATATATATACATATACATAAACATTCTAACACATAAAAATATGACAAATACAATATTGCTGCTTCTTACTAGCATCTGAATATACAATTGTGGTGTTATCTTATGTGATGTCAGTTATATATTGTCAGGTTTTGCGCATGACAAATCACTACAGAAATTAGCAAACAAAATGCCTATCAACTTAGTTGAGTAGTACCAAATAACATGAAAATGTGGATGTCTCATGGACAACTTTGTAAAGGCAAATTAAAGCAAGAAATCATTCCATGCTCTTATCCAAAAGAAAGAATCAGAAATTCTACCAGATTAAATAAAGTAAAAGAAGTTGTAAAGAAGGCACAAGTACTAACCAGATAGAGCTCAAGTGTTTCCCATTGGCTATTCCCTTTAGATTGGTGTGTTGAAGGACCAATATCAAGTGAACCATCAACAACCATTTCATCATTCGATGATGTCAACAGAAGACCATGTGTTCTTAGATCATTCCTGAAAAGACATATGTTACATTAATTATATGTGGCCAAGGGAATCTATGGAAAGTGAAAAATACAAATGTTAAACCAGGCCTTAAAAATGTTTGCGACAAAAGAAAAACTATAAAGAAAATAAAGTAACAAGTATCTAAAATATCTTACCCAGCCAATGAGGGGCCTGCTCTATTTGGACAGCATTTCAATGACATTGCAATGAAGACTCTTTCCAGTCCCCTGAAGAAAAATGTGTCATATATTACTGCAGTCAAGGTATAGGAACTGATACAAAATACATGCCCAAAATGAACTTATTTTAAACGACTTAAACAAGAAGCGCACCTCTTCAATCCTGACCCCTTCCAAAATTTCAGAAGAACTGTAAAGGCCATATCATAGAAATTCGCCTGGATCAACTGGTCAACTAAATCTGGTGGTGGTTTCTCATTGCCTGAAAGGAAAAAGGATATAAATACAGAATTCTAAAACTGCGTTTTTTCCAACAATTAACAAGAATATTTCAAAATGCATGAGAAATGCCAGGTCTCATTTGTGATGTTCCTACGGTAGAGAACATTTTTAGTTTTAAACTGCAGAAAATATTAGTCACTCGTGAAGATGAGTAAAAACCATTTGAGATCCAGTAGACCAATACAAAGGTTAGAAAAGAAGAGCTAAACCATTTAAATCAAGTAGATGTATACAAGGCCTGAACTTCAGTTCTGGGTTTAATTTAAATTACTCTGAAAATAGAAGTTGCAGCTGAAGTTTATTAACATTTATAATGAGCCTTAAATACAATAACAAACAAAATAAAGCATAGGTAAGTTTACCAGTAAAATTCCATTTGACATTTGCCAGTGAGAGCAAATATTGCACTGATGTCAGCACAAACTCATTTTCAAGTTTCTCTATATCCAAATAATTTTGCAGTCTTTGATGTTGAACATCATTGCCAGCTGATGCACCAAAATACAACATATTATTGTCAAGAAGGCCTTATCCACCACCATCCAAGTATTTATATAAAGATGATAATATTCGAAGAGGAAGTTTATTAGGGCGCACTATAAGCATATCACATTAAAAGAAACAGACAGAGTGGTGGCAGATATAACAACAAAATGAATGGATAAATTCTTTGCTAATGGATTATTTACACTGTTCTTGCACTGTTATTCTAGCCTTTTTACTTGGATATTGGGCTTTGTGAAGACATTGTTCTTCAAGTGGAGGATCAATCCAAGCATATGCAGGATGAACAAGATGCAGTGCATTTATAGCAGCAGAGAGCCCATTCAGCCTCTCTTGCAAAATCAGGGACTTCTGATGATCTTTCAAAGCTGCTTCAGTTCTTAACTGAGCAGAATATAGATAAATATAGCTTGCCGCCCTTCGCCAGTTATGTCGGTGCATCTCAAATGCATAAAGCAGTTTCAATGGGTTTGGCTTTGCTGAAACATCTGTACGCTCTGCCTACAAAATTCAGAGATAAATGTGCACAGCTTTAGTCTGCAAGTGAATAACTAGGCAAGCAGAAACCATTAAGCTGTTTTTTGAACCAAGTACACACCTTCCAAGCAAGTTCTCTCTCTACCTTCTCTGTTAAATCAATCAAAGGTAGTTGACCATCACAAAGAGTCTACAAGAAATAAATATTCAAAATTCTCCCGTTAGCAGCATGTGGATGAATGAAGTTTTTATAGCATCAAAAAGAAAAGAATTTATCCAAATATATTCAACTATATAAAAATCAGTCTCTTGCATATACTATAACAGATTTCAAAACAATTGACCCTTGTACGATGATGGTTAAACAAAAGAGAACAGCAATTAACATATCATAGCAAAAAAGGGAAATGTAATTTAAGCATCACAAATGTAAAATATATCTAGCACTATGAGCAAAGCAAAGGTGTTAACGAATAAATATGTCAAACCTATCATTGCTGTTTCTTGTGGTTTTTGGCATGTACCATGAAATATCCAGACACGTTTCTTAGCTTTTCTAAAGGAATTTATATGCTAAATTGGTCAATGATCCTAAATGACATGTCACACATGAAAAGGTACATTCCCTAGTGTAGTCCTCATTAATAAACCGTGCTAAGAGGAGTAGATTGCATACAGACCTAACCTTTGGCATTATTTGCACAAAATGGATGCTTTCAGGATTGGAATCAATGTCCACACTTGGCAGGCCAAGCATTTTACCATTGCACTAAGAAAGGGTTCCTTAAATGAGATGTCACAAAATATTATAAATTTATACTGCACAGTATTGTGCAAAAAAATAAAAAATTTCCAGAATGTCAAGTCACAAAGAAAATTGGAAATTAACAAATAGAGGGAAAAATGACGTGATATATAACCTTTATGGCACCACGTTCATAAAGAACGATTATGAAACGCCTCAACAACATATACTTGCTTTCCTCATCGGGATTCGAAATAATTGCACAATATGCATCATAATAATAATTAAGATCTAATGTGAACTTGAAGACATTTCCCCAAAGGCGTCCTCTAACAGTAGTTGCAGATTCATTAAGAGGTTCTGCCCCATGGCTATCATCATTATGACCAAGAGCTTCATCGACTTGCTCAAGTGCAGCAAGAGCAAATTGGCAAGCACCTTCACTCATATTATATTGTTCAAATATCTGCATTGCCCATTGATAATAATGAAGCTTCCACGCTGCAGAAGATAAACAACCAGCTGGGGCAAGAAAAAATAAATAGATTTTAAAAAAGAGAACAAAACATGAAACAGTTCATTTATACTGTAACTGATATACTACTAAATAAACTTACTGAAACCAAAATGTGGCAACCATGATTCGCTGGTTAAACGCTGCAAAGCCTGAGGAGCTCCTTGTACCGATGAAGCTCTAACCACAAAGATCACAGAAGAAAATAAGGTCCTTGTGACAGACTCACATAAATGAGCACTTATCTCATGCAGTATATAAAATGAAGATATAATGTCCAAGCCAAAATAGAGTAAAGAAAAAAAGGATCCAAGGTCCAAATACAGTCAAATATTTAAGATAATCTAACAAACTATTTAGCACACGATAACGGACAAGAAAATCACATAAGGAGAAAGGTTTCATCATTTTAGATGATTGAAAGAAAAAAAGAAAAAAGAAAGCCACAAAGACAGGAAAACAGTATGATGAGAAAAAAACCCATTTGTATCATTCCCTCAGAATGTAAACGCTAGCATAGAATGTACTTCCTTATTTACTTTAATTTTTGGGTCCTATTTCCCTACATTTCCTTTATTGATTCAGCTGGAGAAGAGGCAAGATAAAGTTTTGGATTGAGACAACCAAGTTGATTTTGCTTACCAACAGATGAAAAATGATAATTCAGAAGGATATTTCAAATAAATAAACAAATAAAAACATGTTTAATAAAATGATAAAGCTAAGTGTAAGGTTGAATACTTATAGCAGAAGAGAAAGTGATCTCTCTATCATTGACACAATGAAAGAGTTTGCTATCTTCTTAAATGCAAAGCTGCATTATATACAATACAGATTCACAATTGCTTTTTTGTTTCTCTTTTTATAATCAGAAACAAGAAAGAATATTGTTAAGAAAAGTAATAGAATAAACGGTGAGAGGTCGTTTAATGTAAAGTAAAAGGGGAAGGAGAAAGGAAGGAAAAGGAAGCACCCAAAACGGCAAATCCAACTAATGTGCTATATATACAAAACAAAACTCAAACTCCACCATCCACTAAAATTCACAGAGAACAAAAGTGACCCCACAAAGAAAGCAAAGAGGGTGCCTCTTCTTGAGAAATAACATATGCTTGCTTGTTGGCAGATCAAGGAATCCATTTCATCCTGATCTCTGAAGCAGTAAACAAGTCATAATCTCTCCCAAATAATGATCAGATTGCCAAGAACTAAAAAAATGAGCTTTTGCCCGATCAGCTACCACCTCAGAGTTGTCCTCTATCAAGCAATTATGAAGACCTTGAGTTAAGGCTCCCCTTAAGACCTGCCAAGAGAACTAGAATTTCCACCTTAACAACAGGCTTGTGTCAGAAAATTTGGAGTAAAAGAAGAATGCTCCCAACATCATCTCTAAATGTCACCGTAGTACCAATGTAGCCTGGATACCCAAGAGAACACCTGCCAATTCAAATTCGATTCTTCACAAAGGCAGACACTTACAATAATCATGGTTGATATCAGAAGGAAGACAAACAACTCAAACACTCATCATAAAACTAGAAGGAATCCTTTACAATTCCTCTGTAAGCAAAACCCACAAGGAGGATCAAAAATGAATTCTACCCCAAGGCTCCTCTTACCTGAACTACTTACCTGATAAAACAAAAAACCTTCAGTTAACGACACTGGTGAAGTAAAAACTTCTATTGTGAATCCTTAATCAATTATTGACACTGTAATAGTTTTCTCCCTCTCTATTATTGGTTTCTGTCAATATTCTTCTGTACAGAACCTAAACTCTTGAATGGAAGTGTGATCTTGATCCATATCAATCATCTACTTGTTCATGAGAGAAAGGAGGAGCAATCATAATTGCCAAACATACCAGCAGTACTTTTGCATTCTTTATTTTATAATTCCTCTTCCCTTCTTCTTCTACTTCTATTCACTGTATTAGTAGTAAGAAAGATTCTTGCTGCCGCAATATGATCCAAATAAAGAGAGATAAATTGATTAAGTAGTTGGCGCCTTCTTGTGGATAAGATAACTTCACACGCTCGCACATAGGGGTGCACACGGATTGGATTAGATTTGAACTAACGATCAATTGATTGATAAGGAGGAAAGACACCTCCCCATCTACCGATTCAAAGAATCATATCAATGTCAGACTAGATGCCTGTAACAGACATCTGCTAAAACCTACTTAAAGCCAAATTTCAGCTAGCATATCCATCACTGGTGCCCTTGAATGAGAAAACCACAGTTCTTTCAAGGTCCCTTGAAATATAAACAATTACCAATTGATTTGCCAAGAGAAGAGCCATAGAAATTCAACTTCAACCAACCTTCAGGCGGAGCCCATCATCATAAACATGATTTCACCACTGCTTGCTCTCTTTAAGGAACAAGCCAAAGCGATAAATAACTTGAATAGAATAAAAAAATAAAAAATAAAAAGACCGCCTTAAAATTCCTTGATAATATAAAACTTAAGACGGGAGAGAGAACATTTCGTGATTGATTCCCACAATTTTATAATAAAAGTTTCTAGTGTTCCTAACACTCAATATCACCAAGGGTCCGTTTGGTTAGCGTCAAGCAACCAGAAAGGAAAAGAAAGGAAAAAAATTAAATTTTTTGCAAGTTTGGTTAGAGGGAAAGTAGGATTCCCATATCTGAAAATTTTCCCCAAAATTTTTCCCCATAAAACACACAAAAATTCACTTTCCCGTAAAAGTTGTGCACTTCATATATGACTTTCCTATTATACCCATAACAGTTGTCTCTCTCCATTGACTTTCTTTCTTCTGTAAATTGCTTGTTTATACAATCATGTATTACTTACTAATTTAAATGTTTGTATTTTTATGTGTGTGCATCCAAAATTAATTTATTTTTTTCCTTTCATTATTGAATTTTTTTTTTCCATATATTTTTTTTTTTCGGAAGGTCTGAAATTCGTTAGATATTTTTTTCTATAATTGATAGTGATTAAGAGTTATTATATATATAAATAACTATTGGTTGATATCAAGAGTGTTGGGTGAAAACTAGGTTTGAGTTGGGATAATCTGTCCATGACTTTTAAATTTCTCATTCTCAGTGCCAGTGAGAAAGTGAGAAAGTTGTAATTAAATATAATTAGATATATAGTGAATATCCAATTACATCATTTACAAATAAATAATAAAAATAAATCTAACATAGGGAGAAAACGAATACTTAGAACTCCACTTTATGAAAAGTTTATTATTTTCTCATCCTCAAAAATAAAAGATCGAGGATTCAAGTGACAGGTGAATATATATAAATATAGAGGAGAATGCAAAAAATTGTATTATGATATCACATACCATTCTATTCCATATTTCACTACTTCCTTGCTAAAATTAATAATTAAGTATAAATAATATTCATCTAACACAAATTTATTTATTTATTTATTATTTGAAATTATAAGGATATTGTTTTTTTTGATAAGTAATTTAATGGAATTAAGATCAACAAAAATTATAAGGATATTTTCGGTAAGTAGAATCATTTTCTTTTCCTTTTCATACTATCCAAACTAACAAATTAATATTTTCTCACAATTTTCTTCAAAAAAATTTCCTGCTAACCAAATGCATGATGGAAACTTGGTTTTCATTTCTTTCACTTTCACTTTCTATCAAAATTTTCCGTCAAACCAAACGGACCCCAAAGGAATTGCGAACAGAATGCAAGACAACAAAATTTTGCCCCTTCCCCATTTCATACTACTAAAGGAAGCACCAATTAGGTTAGTGACGATATAGATGCAACTCAATAATTGCCACACGGAGTATAAGACAGGGTAGTGAATATAAAAGACGATCGCTGTGTCATTCCCATTACAACATATAAAAGAATAGATATCCTTTCCATACTTGTGCTTCAGTTTGTCTTGACCCACTGAGAGGGCAAAAATCATGCAAGTACTAAATGCCAAGAAATCAACTTCTTCAAAAGCTGATCGTATCCAACCAAATGCCTGCCTCAAAAGCGGAGCACAAATCCAGATTATCTCCAAAGAGGTGAGCATATGCCAATAAACAAAAACGGTAGATATTACCCACTCCAAAACAAAACCAAAATCATGTCATGAGATAAGCCCAATGATGAGGCTTTCTAAGGCCTTCCAAAATAGTACAACATATTCCAACTGGGTAAAATAAGGCAAATATTGTATTCTTCCTCAGGACCTCCAAAGATGTTCCAAATACTAGTTGACCAGGATTTCCAAGAGAGAGCAACCATCAAAATTAAATTCGCCTCTCCCTTATGGACTTCACAGCATGAGAAAAAGCCTTTCAAAACTAACACTACAATGGAATCCCACCAAACAACTTAGTAATAGAGGCTGGAAAAGCGTATTTTGATGTACGTGGGGAAACCAAAACATTTTTTAGGATAGAATGAACCAGTCAAGTGTCAAAACAAGAACAATGAGTTTATACATTAGATAACAGTATTCCATATGGCACATGAAACCGCGTTTGTGAATATACAAACAGACAACCATATGCACCTATTCGAAATCTGTGGGAAAACGAAGGCAAGAAGGATCCCAACAAAGTAAGCTTTGTACTTCTACACACAAGTTCCACAACCCAACTAATTCCAGGCCAAATTTCAGCTCGCATAAGTTCTCGAAATTACATGCACCTTGGGATGCACTCTTTTCATAATTATTCAGTTTTCCAATTTGTTCTTCAAACATGAACATCTTTGTGAAACTTCGGGTCTACGAATGTCATTTCTCTTCTTCAGGACTAGAACTGGCCTTTGACACATAATTTTGAACCGTGAGAATTATACATGCCAATTAAAATCAGGTACCATATCTTGAGTGTTTTAGAACTACTAAAATTTCTGAACATGAGTTGAACCCAAATCCTAGCTTCTGGAAACCATAAAGATTGATCTATCTTGATTCATACACTAATAGACGACATTGAAAGTTTCAAATGATGAAGAATTATAGACTTAATTTAACGTAGCATGATATCTAAATTGTGGGGACACAATTGTAAAATATTACCCAAAGAACAATAGCACTAGGGTTACTGCTACAATTTATAATCTCTCTGCCGCATCCTATCAATTACAATTAGGGTTTCTGTGGTTCTCTATCTATATATATACATATATACACACCCACACGCATTATAACGCCCAAGTCAACAATAGCAACTAAGGTTACTGCGGTTTTTCTCTCTCTCTCTCTCTCTCTCTCTATCTCCTTGGTTTGTTTTGATTTTCATATGAATTTGCTTTTCATTTGTTTTGATTTTCATATGTTGCTTTTCTTGATAATAAGATCAGAATGGATCAGTGAGGAGCATATGATGAATAAATAATCATTTTGGGCTGATTGAAATCATGAAGTTCCAAATTCGAGCTTTTTAAAACTGATGCTCCTACATAATCTTATTTGTGTTTTTTTTAAATCTTTCTGTGAAGCTTTCGGAATATGATTTTTTATATCAAAACTTTACCGAATTAAAGTTCTATTTTTCGTATATGTAAAGATGTAATTTTTCTTACTGTCTTCTTTTTAAGTTTGTTTTACCCATATAATGGGTATGCGATGCATACAAGGTAGGAGACAATCATAATGGGAAAACAAAAATTAATTACATATCAAATATATATATATATATTACCTGAAGAAACAACGAACAGCTTCACGAACTTTTCTGTCTTTCAGGATTCCAGGTGATCCACAGTGTGCCTGAGCAAGAAGGCAACATCCGAGAAGATGGAGGATTGTAAACCATTTACCATCATCACTCTGAATACTTCCCGACGTCTTTTCCTTTTGTGAATGTGCCTCCACGATATTAAGTAGGTACTTAAATAAGAAAGAAAATTGTTTCAGTCTACTTCTCTTTATATTTAGAAACTAAAAAGAGAAATCATTTTTTCTTTTTCTTTTTGTTTTGCCGCCCGGGGGGGGGGGGGGGGGGGGGGGGGGGGGGGGGGGGGGGTTGGGTTGGGTTGGGGGTGCTTTTTGGTGTGTGGGGATGGGGGAGTTTCATCTTCAAAGAGAATTAAAAGCATAGCAATAGACCTCAACAGCATCATACTGCCCGTGCCTAAGTAAGATGAGAGCAAGCTCAGTTGAATGGCTGAAGAAGGCAGAAGATGCTTCTCCAGTCATGCCCCATATCAGCCAGCTAGTAAAGCCTTTTACTGAAAGAATAATGTTGCTCGGATTGGGATGACATCTTGAAGAAAGGTGGTTCTGGTCTTCAGGGGTACTTCGGGCACTTAATAAGAGTATAAAAGCCAATTTGAAGTCACATTTGCCAAGCATCTTATTCCATGATCTCTCATCAGCTTTGCCATCTGACCACAGACAAAATACCACAAAAGTACACCATAAAATAACATCAGTAATAAGATTGACATGACATCCAACTCAACAGACTCAAAAATACTGGAAGTTCTATTGAACTATGGCCGTTGAAATCTGTATCTGACACCCAAATTGTTAATAGGCCTACCAATTGCAACAGAAAAACTAAAGTAGTTGTTATATTGTTTTTGTACTTAAATAACACATATTTGGGAAACAAACAAGTTTAACCAGGGTTGGATTTAGCAAGATCAGAATTTGGATTACATGTACAAGATCCAAACTAGAATATGAGACTGATGTATCCTAAACACTTGTATCCAAGTACAAATTTGACATTTGATAAAATATTCAAAAATCCAAATTTGATCCAAACCAAAGACAAATATGAGTAATTAGAGTTGTAATACAAAAACAAGGTTGTAAATATTGAATCATATGTTGAATTAATTAGGAGGTCAATAGGATCGGTTCAAAGTAACAGATGGAAAATCATAAGATCCTACAAATAAGGGGGGAAAGCATAAAACTATATGGAATAGATACAGAACAAATCTAAAACACACAGAAAAAAATTAAATTAGTGTAAACATATAAAACATGCAGGTTTGCACAATTTGACACAAGTATATTTCATAATGTGGCGTAGAAGGTAAAACCCTTACGCCATGTAATTTACAAGCAAGCTTTTACATGGGAAGACCAAGGTTTTGGATCCTTCTGTTTTCAATTTCTTAAAATATACTCATTTTCTCATTACGAAAATGTGTGTTTTATAATACAAAAATTACTTTAATGAAACAAATCAATAAATTATTTAACCCAATCAACCAAATGTCAATTGCACATTCCACAATAACCAACTATTTTTACAAAAGATTTAAAATTAATCCACTGAAAAAAAAAAAATTCTCCAACCATAAATAAACCGATTATGAGATTTTTTGTAAACGTCAACAATCCTATGACACGATCATATGATGATCCTATCCATCTGTAATTTTCATATGATCTGGATCGATCTGTAAGTTTGGATCTTAGGATCTGTTTTTTTTTTGATAAGTTGGGATCTTAGGATCATGAAACCTTACAACCAAAATCACGGTTTTGATAACCATGTATAAGAACCAATATAATATCTACCTGATATCTTAATATTACTATTTAAATTCATTGAAGTGCATTGGGGATACATAAATAATAAGCTTAACAAACCAGATTGAATCTGAACACTTGAGTCAATTTAGTTATAATCAAATATCTAAAGTTTAGTTAATATAGAAACTCTCACTTGGGTTAAATTGGAATCATCTGAACACTTGTGTCAATCTAGTTATAATCAAATATCTAAAGTTTATTTAATATACAAACTCTCACTTGGGTTAAATTGGAATCTGATCCAACTGATCAATGCACACACACATTTTCCCAACTAATTTTAGATGGTACAATACATCAACTCCCTGAAGAAATTATATTGGCATCCCCTTTTGTTTAGAAAATAGCACTGCCTCCCCTGCCAGGTATGTTGGCTAGATAATGTTAACTGAAAAGAGTACTTTTACATTCTTACCCTTTATAAAGAGATGCATGTTACTACAAAAGGAAACAAAAATTCCGCCAAATAATTACAAATAAAGATCTAATGATCGGATTCAGCGGTGATGGTAATGGTTCTGGGATGTGGCTGGATTTAGAGGGATCTACTATATGATGGTAATGTATTGGTGAATTACCTGTGGGTTTTGGCAGCCATGGTCGCACAGTGGTGGCAAGTACATGAGATTATTGGATGTCGATGTTAATGATGTGTGGTTGGTGCCGGATCGGAAGAAGGGTGAAGAGGCTTATAATTGGGGTGGTCGTGCACAATGGTGTTGTGGTAGATGAAGGGATGGTTAAAAAGGTGCATTACAGCGTCATGATTTAACTAAAATTGCATGAGTTAAAGATGGAGCTTTGTTATCCAAAACAGTTCCAGTTCAATCCACTTTCCTCCTTAAAGTAATAACCGATATTTTGACATCATCAGAGTTCATCAGTGTCAATAGTCAGAAGAAGGGATATTTAAAACAAACTATAAAAGGGAGGACATTATGGAAAGGGGACCCAGTAATTATCAGGTATGTCAAAGTTCCACGCACCACCAAAAAAAAAAGAAAGAAAAAAATGGTTTATGATACAATCAACCAATAAATTAGGACTTAATTAGTCCATCCCTAAGATTTATTGAGTCAAAGTAACAAAGAAGTCCACATTAATATTGAATCATAAGAGCTATTTCACTATCTTCTTTTTAGATTCAATCCACAGATTCTTTGCGAATCCATCTGAATTTTCTTCTCCCATTTCTTTCTTCCGAATCGTTCATCAAATTCCTCAATCTTTTTCTTGATCTCATCCGTTTGTTCATTCAATTCACTGTCACAGATGAGACGAAAGGACTTCTATTTATATTGGAATCCCAATCTAAATTCACAGTAGTAGGACAAATTAGATAAAGTAGTTGTAATTTCATATTCTTAGGAAACTTCTACGGACGCATTAGTCAATTATAGCAGGAAAAACCTTAATCAGTTCCATGAATATTCTGTTCTACTATAAGATAACTAGACATGTTCATATAGTCCTTATAACTAGACATGATCATATATCACGATAAAAGTTTTACGCTCACTATCAAAATGCCTTATAGACCTCTCCTCTTTCCAAGCTTGTGCCCTGCTTTGAAAAGATAAGACACTAAACACAATAGGCTGAGTTTACAATAAAACTAGACCTACATTCATACATTGTTATGGTGATATGGTCAACCTAGCTACAGAGAAACGTGGTGCGTTAGCAATTAGAATACAGTATACACCTACCAATTTGTAAAGATGAAAGTTGAGAACTGAAATCTTCAATGGCAGGTGATTCAGATGGTGTTGTACCAAAGAAATGGATGATATGCCACTCAGTAATAATTTCTTGAATCATCGGAACCAACTCAAGTTGTATTTTGGAAATGTCATCGGGTAACATGCGTATCTGCAAAACCAGGAAGAATTTGAATCATCAGAACCTACATTCTAGATAGTGAAAAGAATTTGATGTCGTATCAACTCACTAAAGCATGAAAAATATTAATCACAAAAAATTCAACTCGCTACCACAATAACAAATGAAAAAAATAAATATCAGAAAGAGTGTCTTTGTGTCAAAATAGTAGACAGGTTGAGGTTACATATGCATTTGGCATCCCGAATGAGGGATGACAGAGACAAGAAGAGGTTGTTCCTAGATGCAAGAAATTCATTTAAAAGCTACCTCCACAAAAGTTTACATAATCTTACATTTTTTTAGGCTTGTTAACAGAATAATACAGAAAATGGAAAAGATGATGATTTAGAGAAAATTTTATTTCTGAAATTGTGAATTGCATAATTTAAATTTGCATTTGTTGTGCTTAATTTAATGTGTCATGCCTGCCACAAAACCAGTCCAGGGGCCAGTCAAATTCTGTTAATTATTACAACATGATTGCAGCAACGGAATCTTGACTTTTAGGCAAGGGCTCCTCAAATATCACGGACAAGTGAGTAAAGAAGCCATTTAAAAATTGCTTAGCAACTTCAATTTAGGACCATTGACAAGCAAAAAGGATAAAGTTAACGGATATGATTTTAAGTAGGGTAGCATAGCATGTTCATCGCAGCACAAATGTGTTAGGTCAATAGGAGATACTTTGGAAAATTTCATACAAAACAAGTTTAATATCGGTAAGACTTGCATTAATCATTTAGACAACGAAATGTACACTTCACAGTGTTTTTGTTTATTTGATAGATTTATTCTGTTCTTATTTTTATTACCTTCCAGATTGTTTTATTCTTATATCTAGTGCATCATTGCGAGTAACCCAAAACTGATCCACAACATCACAACCAAACTCTCCTGAGGATCCCTGAATCCATAAATGACAGCTCAAATTTAACCTTTATTCTACAAAACCTCAAGTTTCCCCATGTAAGGCAAAATATTATAACCTAATTTACATGGTCCACACATACCTAGAATGAAAGCCTACAATTGGACAGTGTATTCATTATGGAATTGTGTATTTTAAGTGAATAGGCAAAATAAGAAACAAGCTATGGTTACATCTACTGCTCAAGATAAATTTTGAACGCAGGCTTGTAAAATGCAGTGAGTGAAGATTCTTGTCGAAGAATTTAAGATTAATCGGCAAGGAATAACAAACTTGAACCACAATAATGAGGCAGCTACTACTATTGTGCATCTCTAGGGATGTCAGTTTAACCCGTCCCTGAGAAAGTTAGTTAGAGCCTTTTCTTTACATTGTTTTTCAAGATAACTTAAGATTTTATTTTTGGAGATAATTTAAAATTTTCACTACAAAGCTAAGTAATTGGATGGATTATGATTGTTAAGCATTTGTTTATAATCATTTAATCAAGTTTGATTTTATTAGTTTTAAACTATATATATATATATATATATATATATAAAAGTATGCATAGTGGGGCGACCTGAACTGCCCCAACTCTAATGCAGGGCGGAACGGGTCAGGCTTGGGAATTGATCTTCCTCTTCGGGGTGGGTATGTTATAGAGGTGCCCTGCCATATTGACATCCCTAGATCATCCTACCGAACATGGCATAACAAAATTATAATGAAGAGGATTGTCAACTCATAAGAAAAAGCTTAAACATTGCACATGCGCTAAGGTAACAGCAAATATCATCTTTTAAGAAAGAATTAAGCAAAAGTTGGACAAGTTTGACTCCCAAGCACCAACTTGTGATGGGGTTCACAAAGCAATTTGTGAAATAGAGACATTTAAATATTTTTGACACAATTATATAAGAAGCAAGAAAGACTTTAAATTTTCATAAAGCCAACCCTTATCCTAGATATTCAAACCACAGATTACAACAATATGTACACCAGAGATAATAGAAGTAAGTCAATTTTTCTTCCTTCAAGGCTTCTACACAGATCAGTTCACAAGACCAAATAACTGTAATCATGAGATAAGCATTGGGATTAAAATACAATCACTGCCCAGATAAGATAAATAAATAAACATATATACATAACTTTTATTTTGTTTCATTGACATTTACTTAACCAAAAACAAAAACTGACCTGTCCACTGACATTCACGAGATAGTTTAGCAGCAGAAGTATGTCCAATGCGGATTCAAACATAACTTTTGCAACTTGCGAAGTAGCCTGGACCGTCAGAGAAGTGTTGATACTAAAGACTACTTCAGAATCAATCTTTTGTATAATTTTGCAAGGTACGAGAAATTTCAAGTAGCTCTCTATCACTTTCAAAACTTTGGCCCACGTGGTAGCTTTATTGCACAAAGCATGAAAAGAAAGAAACATCTCTATAGAGAATTTCCTCAGATTTTTGTGACCTGCCACTTCCTTCTCCCAAGCAATATCCGTTCCCAGATCTGATACATGGAGAGCTGCTAGTGATGAACTATGACCAGTTTCTAAAATCTTCAGTAAGCGAGGAACAACTTCTTCAGACGATACAATTGGTGCACTGAGAAGTGATTCGTAATATATAGCCGAAACAGCTTTGCCCAACTGTTGGCTGATATTACTAAGGCATCGGAGAACTTCAAGAAGAATCTCACATTCAAGGGAATCAACAGAAATACCCAACCCAGAGCTTATAAAATCGCCAAGTTGATCAAAAGAACCTGCAGCATAAGAATACAAAAACTTATTAAAGAACAACTACAAACAACTTTGTCCGAAAATCTATGCTGAGACATGTTGACTTCAAAACTAAGAATCCCCAACATACCGTAGCTAAGAAGCTCGATATCCTCTAAACGGCGGAACAAAGAGATTGATTTTTTTCTGATTAAACCAATAGCTCCAGTAGATGAATCAATGAGCATACCAAATGGTGCATTATTTTTGCACCAATTATGAAAATAGCGGGAACAAAAGGTTTTCCAGCAGTAAAGTACTGACACTGGATTTTCAGAGACACCCTAGTACATAATGTAGAGTCATCAGTTCACGTGAACCCTACCCCAAAACATATAAATAAATCAATAATAAAAACAGAAATTCAAAAGCACCAAAGGGAAAGAAGAGTAACTTAAATAGGTAGAGAAACTGCAGAAGGTAAAGAAAAGAAAACCTCATGCTCTATAAGTGAAAGGATTTCCTTTTTTAACCCATCAACAGTTAAGGAATGAAATTCGGAATCAGTCAAATGCTTATTATAATCTTGAAACGTTGCTCGGAGAACAGCATTATGATGAACCCCAGGAAGTAGCAGCCTACGTAAGAAAATAGAAGATAAAAACAGGACAATTTGATCCTGCAAAAATGTACACGAGTGAAACACTGTAAGCAACACATAAATATCTGAAAACCTTCCTTTTGATAACAGTAATATTGCAGAGAAATAAAACAAACCTAACATAAACAACAAATAAATTGAAATTGCTGCATGGGTAAGCAGCGCTGAGTCAATCTCACGTGCTTTTAAGCAGGATGTAACAATGAAATTGATGTAGCCTATGGACCAAATTGGTAACGTCCATTATCTCTAGTAGCTATCTACACCAAAACATGCAAGGAAAAGGGGGGAAAAGATAATTCTATACATATATAAATAGAAAGAGGGCTTCGTCCAAAAGTGTTTGTACTAAAAGCAACAGATCGTTAGATTATAAGAGTAAAACGTAAAAGAAGCAATCATCATTACAGAGAGAGGGTTTGGTCCAAAAGTTGGGTCTCAACTAAAAGTTAGATAGCATTAAATTAAAACAAATGAAAAGTAAAAGAAGAAATTGTGGTTACTTTCATGGTATTGAGGCTGAAAATCTAAAAATATGGAGCCCGTTATCCATATTATGAGACTTAATCTTACGAAGAGGAAATGCAGGAACAGCAGCCACAAAGCCCTACTCAAAAGTGGTTTGAAGATTAAGAATTAGGGTTTCAGTATAATATGACCGTCAGTTTTTAAATTTATTTTACCCCTCTGAAACAATTTATACAGGTTTCGCTCATTCTGTGTGAACAAAAACAATAAATGGTTATAGGGTTAAGTTAGAAACACATAAACAGCACGTTTATTTTTCATGTCATTCATGTCAACCCAATTACGACCTGGGCATGATTATAGTTGACAAGATCCAAGTCGTATTCTTAGTTGGGAAAAGGCTTTGGTTGTTGTTGTTGTTGTATCCAAGTCATATTCTAGGTTCGTATTCTAATACCATTATCCTCACACAGCCAGTCCCAGGCCTGGAAAAAGGAGAAAGGTTGTGGTAGGTAGCTACGTAAAAAAAAATTCCAGGACCAATATCGTTCTATAAAACAGTTGTCGGACTAGTCCTACTTTATGGGGCAGTATGTTAAGCAGCTAAGAAACAACACAACCATAAAGTAAGTGTGGCAGAAATGTGAAAAGTGAGATAAATGTACAGTAACAGAACTAGAAATGAACACGTTCATGAAATGGTTGAAGTAGTTGGAGATAAAATGAGAAAAAAATAGATTAAGATGATCTATAAATGTGTACAGGAGAGCACTAAGTGCACTAGTTAGGAAGAGTGACATTATCCATATTGAGGGTAATGGGTAGGCTTAGGAAGGAAAGATATGATAACATGTGGATGATTGTGGTGTGACAGAGGCTACGGCCTTAATAGAAAAGAATGGAAAAATATGATTCATGTAACTGACCCAAAAGTATCTGGAAAAAGGTTATATTATGTTTAATTGACCTAAGTTAATCAAATTAAATTTAGAAATTAAGATCTACCCCCATGCTGAAAACCTAAAACAGCCATCTGCCGGTGTTTGAAACAACCCAAACGATACAATAATCCTAAATCAATCAATTGTGCCAATGACATAGAAATTTCCACCAAATAGGCTAACAGGTGAAAGAAGCGTACAACTTCTAAGATTACTATCAGTGCTTTTACACAAGTTCATTAGTCACTAAAAGGCTAGAAAAACTGTCATGTAAAGTACAATCTAGAAGAATAAAAGCACAGATAACATAGCAACAGGTTCACCATACCTTTAGCGATGAAAATATTGAATAAGCAAGCCAAAGAAGATCATCGGAAGAATGTTCAGGACTTTGAAATAACTGGTCAGCAACAAATGCATCCTGCAAAGAATAGCAGTGTGCTACTCCCCTAACATTAAATATGCCGGATTAATAAAGCTCAAAATTATAGCAAAACTATTCAAAAAAATTTATATATGTGATAATATAAACTAATCCAACTACCTTTCCCACTTTGGAGACATTTAAACATGTGCTAATATTTAACCTGACAATATATTTCCTGTCCAAATAAATTTCCTGTATCAATCTCCTCATCTAGGTTTCCTTGGTTAGAAACACAAACTGATACCTCTTCCCAACACACATGATCTCCAGGAACATACAGACATAGCAATCAATGATTAATCAATCTCTTGCTTGAAAATCTTTAAATAGGACTTCCATTCTTTTGGTTCCTATAATAAGAGGAAGTGGTAGCCCCAAAAAACTAGAAAATATACAGTTACTACTGATTCGCACCATGTTTCTACTAACTACAAACTTCTTCCGTCTGTTTGAAGTGCACAAATAATCCATTCGAGACCATTTCGCTGTTCTTACTTTCTTTAAATCATGAACCTATTGTACTTATTCTCTATAGAGATGGAGCGCTACTTTAAATTGATTTGAAAGAGTAAGATATTTTATTTAATTACAATTAAAGATCCATGGTAGTGTCTTCTGGTATGTATTCCAGATCTTTGTATCTCTCTGTATGAAATCTCTTGGGCAGTACTGAAACAATAGAAGAAAAAAAAAAAAAAATTCAAAAACTGTAGGAAAACTACAATGTCCACAATATTAAGTTCTCGTCACTACTTCGGTATAGGACGTCGCAAAGAGTAATTGTGGATGACTTTACTAAGATTTTTAGGTGCTTCACAATGTACTGGGGCTGTTTATCGAATGCGATAAGATGAAACCGGATTAAATAAGGGTATCTCAAGTACAAAAAAATTTAGGTGCACTGCTAAAAAGACTCCTGCTAGTGCATAGGATAGCTTTTCTTTATAAATATGTATCCTCAAACATATCAACAAAGAAGCATTTATAACCAAGTATAGGACTGAAATCCCATAAATAAATATATATATATTTTTTTTGATAAGTAAATATATATATATATATATATATATATACACAAATAAAACGAACAACCATATAAATAACTAAAAACAACGACTTAAGTCAATACTCCTTTTGTGATTCTGGAAAAGAAACGCTGCACAGAGAACATATCTAATAATCCTTTATAATAACTCGTCAAAACATTTATGATTACAAGAGAATATAGACCAGCAAATTTTAGGGGGGAAATGAATAAAATTTGTCTCAAAGCTAAATAGAGAGAAGAGGGGGAAAAAAGGCGAAAGAGAATCACTGATAGTCAAATTTATATGGACTAGTTTAAGAGTTCATTAATCAATGCCAAAATATAATGCATGTATTCAGCTCATCTCAATGAGGCATGGTAGCCTAAAATATAAATTTAGCTTCAAGGTTGATGGACATTAAATTTACATACTATTAATTATTAACTGATAAGTAAAAGGTACTGGAACTTACCCATTAACATTTGTACCGAACAGCTCTTGCATTATGAATCCATCTTCTTTTAGCATCCATATTTTGTTAGAAGTAAGCTTGACATCAATGAGTCCACCCTAACAAAATTGATGGTGTTAGACATCCAACACAGTGTAAAAAAAAAAGGGTCGATCATTCTAAAAGGATAAAGAGGAGAAGCTAATGGATAGAGATATAAGGAGGACATTCTAATGGATTACCTCCTCCAAAGGAATAGTTTGTATTGAAGGCTCCAACAACAAAATGGTCTTATCCCCCAGGCTAAAATGGAGGCTATATATATTGATCTGCTCCGTGATAAATTCCTTCATATTTGGGCCAAAAATATAGTCAGTTCCAAAGATAAAATTGTGAAAACAATAAGAAAATCAGTTCAGGTATCATTTAAACAAAGATCCTGAGGTCTTTTAGGATCAACTGCAGAACATAATTTTGACAAGCTAAAAATGAACATCCTGCATTAACATATTCAGATTTGAAAACTAAAAACAAAACAAGCCAATATATCTATTAAGTGGACAGAAACATTTAAAGCAACTCTCCTAGATAGCAAATGTAAAAACTCTTCTCCATAACAGCTGTAGAAGATTTAATAACCAAACAATTGGAGTACAATGATATACACTGGCTGCTGAAGATGTTTGGACTTTCACAAGTTTGTTTCCTTCTCTGTAAAACGAGAAGTACAAAACAAGAAGGATGAGAAATCCTTCTGAGAAAAGAAAGGCAGAGACAAACTAAGAGCAAGATGAAATCAGGGAAAAGTACACCTATAGAAACCTCGGAAGCCGTCACAATGAGATGCCATAGGAACAGTAGCAGAAGCTTTAAGCTTTGCCAAAAAATTGCACTTTTATTAGCCTTAGCCTATCTAGTAATTCAATTAAGTCACGTCTCTAAGGATGTAGTCAAGATCCAAGAATTCCCTCAGAAGATAACCAAAACACCATGTGCGCAGGGATGTAGATATATACAAAAAACCCACCACCTACAAGCTTCATCCTTCCTTTCCCCCTCCCCTTCTCTCTCTCCATCTCAATCAAGCACTGGCAGAGAGATATCCAATAGATTCCTCTCTCAATGCATGCCTAAAATCCATTAGCATGGGAAAAAAACAACTTTTTTCCCATCAACATCAATAAAGATACCTCCAATCCCAAGCCGACCATGAATATCAAGACAGCAACAATGGTCTCGCTTTAATTATTCCCACCCGGGAGAATTTTCCAAATATATATATGGATGATTTTCTCAGACCGCTAAGAAATCACAAGACAATCCAATCTAACAGAACAGTATTCAAGAGAAACCTTTTGTATGCTGTAACAAAATAAGTGAAGAAAAGCACCATAACCCAAAGCCAACCTTGCAAAAACCCTTGACACAATACATTACAGAATTGCTTTCAATTCAAGGAACCCCGATAGCAGAAAGCCGCATGCTAATGAATTTAAGCTCTACCTCCATACTAAGTCCAACCATCACACAAATTTTCTGACAGAATGAATCTTCACAGTGCAAACCAACTAGTCCTAGCAAAGGTGAAGAGTCACAAGTTATAAGAGACGAGACAACACATAAATGGAAAAATGAATAAAGAGGTGGTGATAACTGTCACTATTTATTTGTTTTGAAAGCAAACAGCTATCGCTCTTTGTTTTCAAAGCAAACACAAATCTGCCTATGAGCTTTATTAAGCCTGGAGCACCTAAAGGGCAAACCCAGTGCATGAGGCTCCCACCATTGCAGGTCTGGGGAGGGCGTACGCAACCTTACCTCCCCTTGCGGAGAGGCTGTTTCCTTGTTAAGCCCGGAGCACCTCATTTCTACTAACCTACTTGTGAACCACTAACCAAGAGCTCAACTTTTGGGAGACCATATACTTCTAAATCAATCTAGCTGAGCAGAAAGGAAAAGGCAAGGTCTCTTCCAAATTGCATTTGGATGAAAGAATATAGGGCTTGCTTTCCAGGCAACCTTAGTTCCCTTCCTAAAGGCTCTCTCCTACACAACAAATATATGTGTGTGTGTGTGTGTGTGTGTGTTGGGAATTTTGTCTCAAATTCCTAGTCTAATTAGATTTCTATTTTAAAGTTATATTTTGTTAGGAAATTTCTAGTTAGAAAAGTTTTAGGCTCCAATGAATTGTAATCCTTGTCCAACAAATAATTGGGTTTAAGACTCTATAAATAGGTACCTAGGTTATGGGTTGAGAATTCTGATATTGAGACAGGTGTAGTCTCATGAGAGAGTTGATTGGGTAAAGATAGTTTATGGGTTGATAGAGTAGGAAAAACACCGGTGGCATTGGTAAAGAGGAAACAGGATCGCGGATTGGTACGTGGTGAAAAGGTGAAGGATTGATAGACTGAGAGCTCTTTCTTGATTCTATGGGTGGTGGTGCATGGGCGTTCTTGGTTGGTGGAGCGATTTATCTGGTTAATTCCATTACCAAACCAGACATCAACGTACTGACTAGCTATGCGGAGGTGCCCTCCATAGCTAGCTTTCTTAGAGGGACTATGGCCTTCCAGGCCACAAAAGTTTGAGGCAATAACAAGTTTGTGATGCCCATAGATGTTCTGGGCCGCACATGCACTACAGTGATGTATTCAACGAATCTATAGCCTTGGCCGATAGGCCTAGTTAATCTTCAAAATTTTCAATGAGAAATTCCTAGTAAGCGCGAGTCATCAGCTCACGTTATCTACGTCCCTACCCTTTGTATACATTGCCAATCGCTCCTACCAAATGAACGGTTCGGTTAAGTGTTAGGATCGCAACAACGTGGCCAGTTCATTGCCGGCAACATCGGGAGGACGGGAGAAGTCCACTGAATCTTACCATTTAGAGGAAGGAGAAGTCGTAACAGGACTTCTGTAGTTGAACCTGCAAATGGATCATTGTCGAACCGTCCCAGCGGAACAACCCGCGAATGTGTTATAACAATAGTGGGATGCTAACACCCTACTATCACGGGAAGTGCATTGTCGATCCTTTCACAAGGAGGCAAGCATTTTCCTAGCAAAATTACGAAACTTCAGCGTGAACTGCGCCAAGGAACACGAATAAAAGAGCGAGCCCACAAAGCCCCGTCCGTGAGTGAGATCTCGAGGTGGCATCTTCTTTTATCGAAACAAAACTACTCTCAAATATCTCGGCTTTCGCATCGATGAAGAAGGTAGTGAACTGCGATACTTGGTATAAATTACAAAATCCCATGAACATTGAGTTTCTGAACACAAGTTGCGCTCGAAGCCATTAAGTCAAGGGCAAGTCCGCCTGGGCGTCTCACATCGCATCGCCCCAAACACGCTCAGTGGCAAGAGTTGGGGGTGGACAATGGCCCCAATTCGCAGTTGGCTCAAAAAATGACTCATTGGCCACGGACGTTACAACAAGTGGTGGTTGAGAAACCCTTAAGCGTCCTGTCATACATGCCAATGTCACCAGCGGGAAGCTACAACGACCTTGATGTGCTGTCACCAACAATGACTTAATTGCGACCCCTGGTTAAGTGGTGTTGTCTACTGAGTTTAAGCAAATCAATAAGCAAAGGAAAAGAAACTTACAAGGATTCCCCTAGTAACGACGAGCGAACTAAGAAGAGCCTAGCTTGAAAATCGAAGGGCCCCATCGTCCGAATTGTAGTTTGGAGAAGCGTCCATAGTGACGGACTGGGCCCAAGTCCCCTGGAAGGGGGCACCCAAGAAGGTGAAAGCCCCGACGTGTCCGGACCTTGTCGCACCACGAGGCGTTGTTTGCGAGCCGGGTTGTTTAGGAATGCAACACCAACCATGCAATACATTTCATCCACGGCTAAAAACGAGTGATAGACCGATAGCAAGCAAGTACTATGAGGGAAAGATGAAAAGGACTTTGAAAAGAGAGTCAGAGTGCTTGAAATTGTTGAAAGGGAAGCGGATGTTGGCCGACGATGCGCTCCGGTCAAATGTGGAGCGGTGACAAGCCGGTCCACCGATTGACTCGATCGTGGACTGTTGCATTTTTCTTTTCAGTGTTTCTTTTTCCCGACATGTACACAGTGTTGGACCTGTTGGTACTCTACTGTTGTAATATCTCTATCGAATTATAGTGAAATATCTTCTCATCCATGAATGTACCCCAGTTTGTGCCGAAACACATTATATCTTGTGTTTATGTGTGATTGATATATTTTCTTTCATTCGATCCCGAGAAATTGGTATCAAAGCCAAAGGTGAAAAAGATCCTAAAAACACAAGGAGTCTCAATGCGTGTTGTGAAAGGTTTCACAATCAATTAACTAGTTTACATGGCATAGAGCTTAAGTAGTTAAGGTGGAGCCTTGGAGGTTTAACTGATCGCGCAGCGTACAGTATGGACAATTAGAGTTTTGCAATAGCATCGAGACATCTTGGCATACAATCCGAAAAGTAAGGAGCCTTAGATTAAAGTCCGTAAATCAAACCAGGTCATAATGGTCCATGGGTGGAAGTTCCTAAAAAGTGTTTTGGTTTGTGTGCAATATTGAAGTTGCAATGACTTGTCCTGATCAATGTCGTGGGAAGCAATGATTCGCTGGATAAAATTTGAGCCTATTGGGAATTTTGTCTCAAATACCTAGTCTAGCCAGGTTTATATTTTAAAGTTGTATTTTGTTAGGAAATTTCTTGTTAGAAAAGTTTTGGGCTCCAAGGAATTGTAATCGTTGTCAACAAGAAATTAGGTTTAAAACTATATAAATAGGTACCTAAGTTATGGGTGGGTACTTATGAGATGGAGAGACTACAGGGAGTTGATTGGGTAGAGATAATTTATGGGTTGCTAGAGTAGAAAAAACATCGGTGACACTGGTAAAGAGGAGGCAAGCTCGTGGAGTGGTACTTGGTGAAAAGACATGTGCATGATATTGTACTCTACTGTTGTAACATCTATATGGAATTATAGTGAAATCTCTTCTCATCCATGGATAGGCTGCAAATGAACCGAGCCAAGCCAAGTTGTGTTGTTCGGGTTCGGCTCGTCATCTCCAAGGAAGTGTTCGAGCTCGACTCGGGCTCGGGTGAGCTGAGCTAAGCCAGGCTCGAGCTCAGCTCAGCTTGGAAGAGTTTCGACAAGCTCAGGTGAGCTCAGCTAAGCCAAGCGCGAGCTCAGCTCAGTAGAGTTTCGACAAGCTCAGGCTCAGCTTGGCTCGCGATCGGTTATATACCAACAACGATCACCAATTCAAGAAATCATCGTGATCTCTTCCATTAAATCCAATCTCCATCTCCAACAAGAAAGAAATTCATCTAATCTCCATCTCTGACAAGAAAGGAAAACAATACTGAGCAAATTTTCAAGATGAAATCAAACCTTACAAGGCTATGTCGACTTGATCTACATATCTATTACACTGCTTAACCTTAAGATCCATTCGAGAGAGAGAGAGAGAGAGTTATGTCGCGCCCCAAAAGGAGTTGGGACAGCCTCGATTAACACACACCCCCAAAAAAAAATATCAGAACGAGGGAAAAAATTTACTGGGCTGGATTGGCAAAGTTGCAAATGAAAGAGTAAAGAGAGCATGGATGAAAATGCATATAATATATTTTGCACATCAAAAGATAATTTAAAGATCAAATGCTTGTTTCAATGACACGTACCGAAGTCTGTTTATATAGGACTGCAAAATGAATTGTACTGGTGCTATTGTCTGCTTCCCTGACCCATAACCTTTCCAATGTCACTCCTGAAAGCAAAACATTGAGATCAGAAAAAACAAGAGCAAAAAATCAGCAAATACTATTTCACTACCCAATTCTACGATTCTCAAAAAGATGAAGTACAGTCTTATTAATAAAATCACAACTATCCCTTAACAAGCAAATGGGTAGTTCACCAATCTTCCAAATTATGAGCAAATACATCCGAATGACCTTCAAACTTCCACGAATGACTTATTTAACCAGCCAATTATAAAAAATATTTACTGATAATTCTAGGAATTCAACATAATTTTGAGCTCAATAAGGGCAATATGAAGATCATAGTAGAAATTGCAAACAATGTAGGAATTAGATAAAAGATCATAGAAATTGCCTGCCAATGTTGCAACACTAATGGTTTGACTGAAAATTCTGCTACGACTTAAAAGGTCCCAGACTCGTAAGATCCCATCAGAATGAAGCACAAAAAGAAGCCTTTTCCCATACACATCAGATATAACCAAATCCTGCACAGCAGCTACAGTCCTATTCCTGGATGATGTTTTAAAGAAAATATGTATATAATCACAATGAATAAGAAAAATGTATACAGCTTCCGAAAATCATTAAAAATATTTGAGCATATCTGACAAAACTGGAAACAGGACATCCAATTCTGTTTAACCTCCTCAATATAAGGGATTAAGAACAAAATTTCAAGGCAATTGAAGATGTAAAGGCAACACAAAAGTCTTAAGGTTAAAGGCATGTTTCTATGACAGGATGTTCAATCATTGTATAAAGAAGTCTCGAGGGAGAAATCAACAAATCCTACAGTTGAAGAATGAAATAATAGATAAAGCTGGAATCAGGTATCCACAAATTTAATCATGTTCAGTCTCCAGTAAGATTAAGTTGTCCCTTCTAAACATTCAAATTCAAGATTGTTAGGTCAATAGATGTATTAGGTAAGCTAATTTCATTCAAACAAGTTGGTACTTTTTGATTTCGTATTTTTTATTTTTTTTCAAAAGTTAGTGGCAAATTTCGTTCAAACAGGAGTCTGTACTTTTGATTTCGTGATTGTTTTTTATTTTTCCAAAAGTAAGTTAGTTGATTTGCCATAATCCAAGGGAAATTTGAGGATTTCAAAGATTCAACAAGGATATGAAGATAAATTCAAATCCCAAATATGCACTCACCAATTTAGGGTTTCATATTCATGCATTCTAATCATTATTCATATCTTAGGTTCATCAAACATGTTTTGATTCCAGGGAGTTATTAAATGCATAATAAGGTTGTTTCTAAATTGGAAAAGTATTCCGAGTGCAGGGAGTTTGAGCGATCGAAACATCAATCAAAACTCACCGGACAAAGATATAAAACCCAAGTCAGTTTCAGCATAAAGGACTACATGAAAGGCCTATGTTTTTAGAGAAACACACGAAGCATACTCTAGCATTAAAAAGCATACCCCCACACACATAGAGTGCAATCAAGAAATCAAATTGCTCGAGCTTTTTGTTTCTTTCATTCATCATCAAGCATTAAGATGGCAAGTGTTATTGAGTATTCAATCATCTATAATCCAAATGCATCAAGGAGTTCAACACATTACAACTCACACAGCCTAAAAGTGTGGATGACTAGTAGACGAGATCAATGAATCGCAAGAAGAGCAGATTCGTAGATCAAAAGCAACAGTGTTCGAGGAGCAACAACTGGCGTGAGTCCAAATGAGAGGTAACGTAAGTGATTCTAGGGTTTAGAATCTGACACCTAGTGTTATAATACCTTTCTTCTGGGTTTAATCTGCATGGACTAGGTCCTCTTTTAACCCCCAATGAGGTTTTCCAGGTAAAAGTTGGTGTTCTGTGTTGTATTCTTGTTATGTTTCTGCATTATACTAATTTTTACTTGATTGTCAATTCAAGTTAAATTTACAGTTTATTCAAAATTAGTTGAACTTTGAATTTCTGTGGTAAGTAGTTAATTTAGTTTCAAGACAATCGCTCCCCCTCTAGCTCTGGTCATGGGTTTCGTGTACTCTGACATATCAGAGCTTAGGGTAAAGGTATCTCTGCCCATTTATCCACATATTATATCATCTTCTAACTCACCAAAAATTATGTGTTGTTCTAAAGTTTAGAAGAGCAAATGCAACTATGCTTGCAAAGTATATACATAAGAAGCATGCTAGCATATTATTAAAACTTGGAAGTAAATTAATTTATATTCCAATTACTTTGACATAAAGTAGCTCCTAGAAATTTTTCTTCAAAAATATCCCTTTCTTGAAACTGCATTAATCTCAGAATAATCTATTATGAACCTTGGGTGAGTATATCTTCTCTTATGTAGTTTAGGAAATAGTTTGTCGTGGACTCATGCCTAAAGTCAGATTTTTTTTCCTCAAAGGAAAATATTTCCCCAAAGGATTTTCTGTCCTAAGCGAAGATGCCTCAAAAAAAAGGAAAAACAGGATATATTTCTGCTACTTGCCTTGTGTTCAACAGTGTTTATCCTCTCTATACTATTTTGGGGCCACAAAGACCTCTTCAGTAAAGAGATCCCCATGTCTCCATTTTCAGTTCATCAAAAGACACAATGTTTAAGCATTGTGTTTAAGACACAATGTTCAACATATGAGACCGTGTAGAAAGCACATTAGGACAGCGTTCTAACATGCACAAAAGATGTCTGTAACAAAATGTAACAAGCGTGTTGTTGAGATACAATGACACAGAATTTAGCAGGAAACCAATGTCTCTAAATCTTTTATTTAGCAAATTATAATAAAACCAATGATTTCAAAATGCATAAATCATTGCATGCACTGTCCCATCTAAAACAGTGGAACTCTGAACCTTTTATAGTTTTTATCCAACCTTCCTAAAACAACTTTAATCAGATGTGAACTAAGAAAAATTATGTTTGAGACTATATTGTCTGACACAAAATAATATTCCAAAACAAGAATTGGTACCACGACACGAAACCCCACAAGCGACCAAGGCCTGCATCTTCCCGCAGCTCATGCACAAAGCCTACAAATAAAAGAAACAATAAGAGACAAAGGTGAAACGTTAAGACTTGAGAATGATGTTCCAAGTACAAATTTCCATGACTGTTTAAAAGATCCAGAATATTGGGAAAACATAACAGTGTAAAAGGACAAATTTCACTCAGATCAAAACAAACACAGTTTTGTAATAATAGATGGTTAAATAACCAATTTTATGGCCTTTCAAACCAGAAAGTTTATACCCCTAAACTCAGATGCAATTACATGAACAAGAAAACTCAAAACTTTATGTAAAATTGCATGATTTGGGGGGAAAAGGGGGTAGAAGAAATAGATAGACAAAAGGAGAGTAAATATGTAATCAGCTGCACTTACATTTAAAAACTCAAATGTGCAACATTGCCACATACCTGGAAGGCTAGGGTCAAGTACGCCCAGTTGAAAGCAACCAACGGACCCATCATTTCTCCCAATTACAAGACAACCCGAAATTGCTGCAACAGCTGTTATTCCTCCATAATGAGGATAACTTTGGATATTCAACTCTATGATCTCATTTGGTGGGAAAACAGAGCAAGATGCATAATTATAAAAGTTTTTGAGTCTAATAAGATAAGCAACTCCAGAGACAGTTAATGCATAAAGCAAGTATGGATTCCCAGAAGCACATTTGATCTGAAAATAAGAGAAAAGGTTAGAAGTTTGAAAGTAATACATGATATTGTTGACTCCACCAAAAATCAAAAAACGGAGACCAGACAAACCTCATCTTTGCAGAAAAAAGCAAATGGACACAGTGCATCCGGAAATACTATTCGCAATCCAACGCTAGGAAATTCTTTACAATCACAGATTTCCACTATTTCTAGTGCATTTGGCTGATCCTTGTGAACTCTCCTGTTGCAAAGGAGTCAATGATGGTCATTTTACAATTTGAGGTGGCGAAGAAGATAAAGAGACAAAAACCAATACCTAGACATCACAACCAATGGAAGCACTCAAGCCATGTTTCAATAATAGGATCGTGTGTTTTGTGGGCATGATAAAATAGGGAAGACAGGGTCCAACGATAGAGGGGAAGGTGACACCGTTAATTAAAGAGGGAAAATTCTGAAAAGCAGGTGTACAATTTATAGCAGAAGATGGTGGTTGACAAAGGGGAAGGTCTAAATTAGGACTTCATCACCTCCAACAAACTGCTTCTCATCTTCATATATCTTGAGAACCAACTTGTTAGAAAGAATGAAGCCGACAGAAAGGAACCCCGAAAATGACAGATACGACAGATGATTTACATAGAGTTAATATCTATAAAGAGAAGGAGATGCCTGGTATGTGTTGATGCATGCAAACAAGGAAGCAATGCGGAGCACTTCTTCTTCCTTTTTTTCCTAGTTGGTACTCACCCCCCCCCCCCCCCCTCCTCTCTCTCCCTCTCCAAGGAATTGTTTGCACCGAGAAGGAATCGATCCTGAGACCTCATGCTGCATGAGGCACCAGGGCCCAAGTCTTTTCCAACTAGTCCAACCCCTTGGATACTTGAAAGTACAAAAGATGCAACTGCAGTTGAGAAACAATTTTTTTGCTTTTAACACTTAACTCTAAGACTGAAAATTCTCTTTCAGATTCACAAACTTTACGATGATTTTTCTCTTTCCTACTAGTCCAAAAGGTCAATTTTATCGCCAAATTGTCGAAACACATTTTTAAAATATTTAAATCTAAAATAAGCACCCAAAAATAAATATATGATCAAGACAACTTAGGGTCTGTTTGGCAACCACTTTTGTGTTTTTTGTTGCAGGTAGTACATCGTAGTGAAGCAAAACACTGAAACGCGTTTAGTAACTTTTGTACGATTTGATTAGTACCGCGTTTGTTGCCGAAAAGTGGCCCAAATCATAATTCACCAAATTGGCGTTTCCTAATGTTTTCGCACTGTGGAGGTAAATATGAGCACCCGCCCCCCACAAAAATATATATATATATATATTCTAAATGGCATTTTTATAACTAGCCATTTTGTTTTTCAATCTTGCAACACTTTTTTACCACATGTTTTTGCTTCCAAAAATCTTGCAACAAATTTTAAATTACCAAACATGCTTTCAATATCTATTGAACACACTCAACAGCAAAAAACGTTGTTTCTGTTTCAGATGAAAACAGAAACGGAAACGATTGTCAAAGAGGTCCTTAATGCTCCAATTGATCAACTTTTCAAATATTCTCTCCTTTCTATCACCTAGAAAATTTCAATCTGATTTTATAGGGGCCATTTGGCAATCATTTCTACCCTATGGATCTAGTGAGAAACATAAACAAGTGGCAAAAAACAATTTGGTAACTTTTCAAATATTCGCTTCTACTTGTTTATGCCACTGTAGCAGGAATTTAAAAAATTAAATGCAAGACTGTGTAAATACCATGTTTTCTTACAATTTTTTACCAAACATGTTTCTGCACAACAAAAACATTGTTTCTGCTCAATAAGAAATCGAAAATGAAAAATGGAAGTGATTGCCAAATGACCCCATAATGAATTCAACATGAATTTTCTATTTAAATCCAAATTGGACTAACCTTACACAATAAAAATAAAAGATGAAATTAGCAACATATCTCTATGGAAAATTTAAAAAAAGGAAATGAGTAACAATGTAAGGCTCATTTCGGGTTGTGTTGTCTTGTTGCGAAACGCCTCCTACAGTAAAATTGGCAACAAGAACAACATTTAAGTGGATTGTCTTTTGCTTTAATTCAACACAAAACAAAGCACGTGTGTAAATTTGGAACCAAGAAAATGGTTGTTTCGCTTTTTTTACATTGAAGAAGGACACTTGGCTTCAATACTGCGCACTTTACAATGCCTTATTAAAAGGATCATGCCCAACAGATACATCTCTTGCCACACACACACGCTCTCTGTCTCTCTCTATACATTTCATTAGTCCACCTCCGATAACTAGTGACTGTGACTAGCAACAACCAGAAGTACAGATCAATGAGATCTCTATCTTCCCTTCTCCATCAACAGCTTCTCAATTCCTCTCTCTCTCTCTCTCTCTACAAGTTATTTTATCCCTATTTTCGCTCTGTCTCTCTATCGGTCGGTCTCTCTCTTTCTAGAAGAGTACTCTACACCTCAAGCTTTACCAACATCTCTTTCTTTCTATCCGACTGGGAACAGCACTCTTCCATACTCTAGCCCCTAACTGGCTTTCAAATAAGAGATTACACGCACTCAGCTAGCTCTTAAGAAAGTCTTTAGTTTAGTCGTTCTTACTTCCTTTATTTGGTAAGAAAGGAAGCTAATTAGCCCTAGTCCCAATAATCGGACAAAGAAATCTCACACGGCACTTTTCTGAAGCAGATGCAGGACCGATACTGTGCAAAAAATTACCAAACATACTTTCGCCATTTATTTCTATTTTTCACCAATTTGGCAACAAAAAACACAAAACAGAATGACACCAATCCACATCCATTGCCCAAATATAGGTCATCCATCAGGGAATTCAAGCCAAGAAAATAAATATAAAATAAAGGGTGGAAAAAAAAGAGAAGGGAAGGAAACTTAGCATAGTAGTAGATGATGTCAGTGCTAAATTGATGTGATCAGCTTCAAATAATATATGATTAAATTTCACAACCTAACATCAATTTAACGAAAGAAAAGTCATCACTCATCATAACCTAATCGGCTAATATGTAAGAGAACAGGGCTGCTCAAATGGTCAGTCCTCAGGGTTAATACCTTAAAGTTTTAAGTCTTAGTTCTGGTTAGTGATTTGCGGGTAATTGCAGTAGTGATTTGTTCTCGGGTTTACGTTGGGTTGAAACAGTTCATTGTGGTGCAAATTGTGATTATCACAATGAGACCTACATTTCTATCAAATCCAAACAAAAAACCCAGTCAGGTCATATTGGGTTATGCCTATAATACAGAAGTGGAATATCATATTGAACTGTGATTGTTACTACCAAATAGTTTGCATAATTTGGTGAAAGCAAACTAATGCAGAAATCAAAGAACTCAAAACACAATTCCATTCCATAAATGCGCCTGTACATATATATATATATATATATATATATATATATATATATATATGAGAGATAGAGTAAGATATAGTACCAAATGAGATAGGTAGGAGGGTTTCCGATAACGGAGCAGGAGGCGGCGTCTTGGGTGGGAGGGGCGAAGAACGGCGGCGGCAAAGCAGGAGTAGGATCAGCGGCGGTGGGTGATGGCAAAAGAGGAGTGGAAGGGACGCAGACTTCGAGCCACTTGACGGAGTCGCTGCCGATGATGGGGACTTCCGTCCCATCCAATTTACTTCCCATTCGCTTTGATACCAAAATTGGAAGACCTACTTCACACACCACACTCAATTATTGAGTGCAAAGATTACTCTTCTGTCTCTCTCTCTCCACTCTCTCTCTCTCTCTATATATATATTGTGATGGACAGGAGAGAAGGCTGTCAGAGGCCCTTCGCAGTGGGGAGGGAGATTTGGGAGTTCTTGAAAAGGGGTTTAGCGGCTCTTGGCGCTAGGAGGTTTTTGCTTTACTCATTCTACTGTGGGACTCGATATATTTTTTTTTTACTCATTTTACTCGATATATTTCTTCCCAAACGGGTCCTGTGTTCGCGTCAAATTAAAGCTTCATTAGTGGGTGCAATTTGGGTGGGTCAGGCGCAACTCGACCCCATTTTCACCAAAATTTTGCGATAATTTTTGTTGGGCCTGGGCCTGGGCCTGGGCCTGATTTTTTTAATTCGAATTTGACTTTTATATATTTATAATAATCTTAAACATATATTATTTGCGCTTATAATCATAATCAACTTCATTTTTTTCAATATTTTTCTCCTGAAACCTTGATTTATTGTATATTAATCAGCCAAAAAATAATATGTTCAACCATGTTTAATATAAAGTGATTTAGTTTAGTCCTTCGAATTTTTTTATGTGTGCCTTCAGCTTGGAAAGGTTGCATTGGAGGTCATGTTGGGTTAGGCTTGAATCGAAGGTTTTATATATAGGGTTGAATTTCCAATATGTTCGAGTTGCAATCCTAAGTATAATACACTGACCTCTATTGTTAAAAATAATCAATTAAACACACCAATCATTTTGCTTTATGCTTCGTTTGATAGAATGGAATAAATTTAAGTGGAAAGGAGAGATGAATAAAATATTCTTAGAGAAAAAGATTGTATTATTTCTTTTTTTTTTGTTTGGTTGGACGGAAGAAAATAAAATAGGGAATATAATATTTTGTTTGTTAAGAGTGAAGAAAAGACAAAGTGTTACAATTATTTGGAAAGTTTTTTAATTTATAAACATTTATAATAGTCTTGTGTTTCTTTTTTCATGCCTTATGCCCATATTTGGATGAATAAATTTTGTGAGGAATAAAGAATGACTCATCCATCATCTTTTTTCTTTATCCTTGCCTTCTCTATACCAAACCAATGAAATTTGTTGATTCCTTCTTATCTTTCCACCTTTTTTTCTTCCTTCTTACCAAACGGAGCACTAATATAACCATTGTTGCAAAGCTTGAAGCTTGAAGAAGGTGAATTCGAGCAGATTTTACAATTCTTGGAGATGGTGTATTCCACATCCAAATAACTAAACACCTTCTTAGGGAATTGATGTAAACATATCCAAAATAACATGGTTTAATTGTATTTGCTTTTGGAAAATTTTCTGCATATGTATATAAATGGATAACTTTGAGAATTGTTTTGGTAGTACCAATTGCAATTGGTTTTAACGTTCAACACATGATCTTAGTGAAATCATTGTCTTGTCTTAAAAATTGGTTTTGTTTTGGTTGAATTCATGTCATTCTTATTTTATGTGATTATGGGAATGATAGTTATGCAGTAGTGTTCATGGTTTATATTTATATTAGCAAGTCATTTGATAGTTCATGATTAAGAAAGATGGGTTGATCTACACCTTAGATTAGTGTAGTTAGGTAGACAATTTTAGCTACATGATTCACAATTATACATAGAGTGAGTTTTTCCAAATTGAATATAATTGGCCGTTGTTACAAGGTTAGTGGTTAAGTCAATTCTCTAGACCTTCTCCACTAAACTTAGTTTACTTTTAGGCTTCGTTTGGATACACAGGAGAGAAAAGAAAGGGAATGATTATATGAGAAAAGAAAAGAAAAGAAAGGAAAGGAAGGGATAGAGATAATAATATTCATGTTTGGATGGATAGGAAAGAAAAGAAAGGAATGGGTAATATTTTTGTTTGGATGAATGGAAAAGAAAAGAAAGAAAATAATAATTTACCATCTTACCCCTTTTTCTCTTTTCCTTTGTAAACCCTAATTTCATCTTACCTAGGGCAAATCATTTCAACCTCCCCCAATAGCCTCCATCTCTATTCTCGTTCTCAGCCCCTCTCTCTCTCTCTCTCTCTCTCTCTCTAAATGGATGTTCAATCTTCCAAATGTGTTTTTCTATTATTATTATTATTAGATATATATCACAAGATATTAAAAGAAAATTCGTTAACTCAAGCCCTATATCAGAAGAAGAAAATTCAGAAGTCACAACACTCCTACTTGAACCAATCGAAATTCAAAAGATAGAGAGAGAGAGAGTAGAAACAATGGAAATATCTCACGTCAATTCATGGAGCTCCGAAGCGAATTGGACAATTACTCATGGCTCTCTGGATTCTTCTATCACCTTCGACTCTTCAGATTCTCCGATCGACTCCGAAACCACCGTCAATTCCACGCTCAAATCTCCCCTTATCTTGAAGCCTTCGTCGCCCGATTGTGGCCCTTGCAAGATCAAGATTGAGTTTAGTTCCATTCATCGCTGTTTCAATTCAGTATTGAATATATGTGTTGAATTTCAGGTGTTTTTATATTTTTTCAACGATTGATTGAAATGATACATATATATATATATATATATATATATATATATATATATATATATATATTCACTTCGGTCGCCGTTCCAGTTCAGTCGCCGTTCTTAAGCTTCAGCCGGCCCCTTTCTCTCAACTCTCCTCAAGCTCTCTCTCTCAAGGCTATTTTTGTCAGTAGAACCATTTCTCTCCAAATCCCTCCAAATCCAGTCAATTTTGGAGGGATTTGGTTTCACACTGTTGAAGGGATTTGGAGGGATAGCCTATCCCTCCAAATCTTTTCCAATCATTTCTTTTCTTCTCAATTCTCTCCACCCAAACACACTAAACTCTATCCTTCCCTTTCTTTTCTCTCCAATTCTCTCAATCCAAACGAGGCCTTAGTCTTTAATTTCATTGCAATTAAAATAGTATCACAAAACAAAACTCTTTTCTTCTTAATTAAGACGGAAATAATCTTAATAACTTAGCAATTTAATCAACACAGTACCTAAGATTCGACACCCACAATTTGTTGAGTGGTCTTATTATTGACACATCATCTTGATATCACAATATTTAGTGTTTACTTCATTTCGCAAAATGACTAGTAAGGAAAGTGCACATATATTTATCAATAACGAGCAGACATTATTGTGAATTTTTATTCTCTCTTAATTTCATATACCGAGTAATAGATGTTATACCTGCGTATTGTAAATGTAAATACAACAATGATATATATTGGAGTAAGAATTATAGCAATATTTATGTTTTTATCTGACAAGATTTAAACTTTTAAATTAGGCTAAAAATGTCAAAATTAAAATTTTATTTGAGTTTTCAATGGTCCTGCTCTTTCGTCGTAGCCGTTAGCTTCTTTCATGAAATGACTCGGGTGACATTTGGTGCTACATGTTAGATTTACCTTTAATCAATACTCATTTTAACTTAAATAGGGTCTCAAGGTCAATGTTATATGGATTCTTTGTCCGACTACTTTACTCTACTTAAAATATAATAAAAGCATATTAAGAAAAATTGTCGCTTTGAGTTTGGAAAACTTTGACCAACATCAAATTAATTAGTAAATAAAAACTTGCTTAATTTGTAATCATGAAAAATTGTCCAGGCATAACTTTAGTGCCTTGCAAGTAGTAAGATAAAGCTGGTTTAAAAAGGCCAGCGTCGATTGATTATGCACTTCAGACACATTTGGCACATCTGATTAAATGTTCCTCTTTGTTGCTTTTTAAAATAGTTGATCAAATATGACTGGTGCAAATTTATTTAGTGGTGGACCCTCTTTGTTGACTTTTAAATTAAGAAATACGAGAATGAGTCGTATTTGTGTAGATATCGGATGGACACTTCTCAAATACGTGATCGACACTTCATATACGTATCCATAAATAAAAATTAATTTTATTATTTTGGACATTTCGCCTACTCTTTTCAGACACTTTGCCGACACTTTCTGAACATTTCTAACACAAGTCTACCCAGTGATCTTGAAAATAATAAGAATATTATTATGACAAAATAGTGAAATAATGGTATATTTGATATAAAAATCATTATAATAATGACATAATTTCATTTTCTAATTCATTTCATAACAACTCTTAGTATATAAATTATAAATGAATTAAAATTTTATAATACTATTACTGAATAAATATATAAAAATAAAAATTTATATTTATATGTAGTTGTGTCCACGCTGTATCCGTATCCTATTTTTAAAAAATTTGACGCATTGACCTATCTTTGTCGTATCGTGTCCATGCTAGATAGCTTATAAATGATTCCGAGCTAATCGATTTAGTGATGGACCCTCACATATAATAGAAACAAAAGGTAAAGTAACTTGAAGATTTAGGCCATCTGAGTTCAGTTCAACTTTGAAATGCTAAATCAAGATCTAGCACTCCTAAGCTGAACTGAAATTGCTCATTCCATTATGAGAAGTTAGTCCCATTGAGAATTGGAACAGATGAAGCATGCGAATTCACTGAAACAGGAAGATATATTGCAATAAAATAATCATAATAAGGTAAATGCTCATAACATTAATACTTTGAGATAACAACACATATAAAAATAAATAAATAAATACATTGTACAACTATGGTACCCCTTTGGGTAGTAACCACAAAATACAACAAAAAAATGATGCTTAGATGTATTTATTTATATATAGCTTCATGCAGTAATTAATTAAATAGGCAAGTTTCCTTTGGATATCCTATATCTACCCAATTAAAAATTACATACAACCCCTTAATGTTTATTTAATCACTCGAAAATTAATTCCCTTTGAGAAATTATTTCTAATAATTGAATAAACCCAATATTCATGAATTTTACAAAAAAATTATAAGCATCATTATTCATGAAATATTACATTATGTCTATCACTAAAGTTAATATCCATTAATCATTATGGTTAGGCCACTTTGGTAGTTACCAACCGTTCAATAATATGAATATTAAATTATCTAGTGATAAATTCAACATTAAATTACCCACCATATTATGCACTCATAATTTACAAAGTCAATTAATTAAATTACTAGTGGGTGTCTTAAATTTTATAGATACATATACTGTAATATATATTAATAAAAATATATTCAATTAAGTACAAAACAAAATAAAAAAGACATTATTAGTATAATTTATGAACCTCGATTT